CTTTGAGACTAAGAGCCCTGTCCCTCGCCCTCGCCTCGTCCTAATATCCGATTGGCATACTCAACTTCGGACCCAGGCTACCTGCCACGAGACCCGCGCCCTGCATATCACCTCCATCATATGCACGCTAACATGGACTGCAACTGGGAACTGCCTACTCTGAGGGGCACAGTGAGACTAGGCGTAACCCATGCCTTGCGCGCACCTTTTAGCCACCACTAACACCTCCCCAGGCCCAAACCAAGTCTAGGCTTAGCTCCAGTGAGTCAGGATGCGCATTAACCATCACTTCATGCAATACTCATCACGTCCCAGCCCAGTTCTACGATGTAAATTTCTATCCCTATACCGCTCCCGGTCTCGATCCTGTTTTCGCTGTATGCGGAGGTCCATTTGTATGTATCACCCTGTAGGCCGTCAACCTTGTACTCATCAGCCAAGACTATCATATGTAGGTGCATATTGGGCAAGAACAGCACCGTCGAGATTCTGCGGTGGTTCCAAGACGAAGAGAACACCACAGAACACGGTGCACCCGACGACAAGGTAGGCATATAACCCTATGGCTCGGCCTAGCTAATCACTCTACTTCTTGCAATCAGCAGCTCAATTACAACAGCGTCGTTTGGTCCCAGGCTGAAAATGGTGACCCTCTTGTGTGCGTAACCGGCGACTCTCGCATCAAGGTTCTGAACGTCCGAACGGGGAAGCTCGCAACGGTATGCTCTATATCGCTAGTCAGGCTGCATGTACTGACATTGCACGTAGACGCTGATAGGTCATGGCGATGTATTTATATCTATTCCCTGATGCGACCTGGCCTCTCTAACACCAACAGTCTGTCAACGACCTTGCCATATCCCCAGTAGACCCCACTATTCTCGCATCTGTGAGCATTGACCATAGTCTCCGGATATGGAGCTTGCACCCGTCGCACGAGAAGCAGCCCCTCGGAGCCATCTGTTATGGGCAAGGCCACAAGGACCAGGTGCTGACGCTTGTGTGTGGCTTGTCAATCTGGCCAATACAATATGCTGACATTGGTAGGCATACCATCCTAAAGGACGGTACATCCTAACGGCAGGTATGGACACTAGGATCAATCTGGTAGGATGCCTTAACCCTGACCTACTGACAATTTGAAGAAGAGATTCTGACGAGTGAAGTGGGCTGTACCCGATGATCTCGACAAGCACGCTGGAACCGACAAGCCAGCCATAGTGCACTATCCGCATTTCTCCACCACTGAGATCCATACCGACTTCGTTGACTGGTAGCTTCTCTTTCTCGATCCTTGCCTAATGGTCGCTTACTCCTTATAGTGTCCAATGGTACGATGATTTGATCCTAAGCCATGCGTGTCGCGAGAATAAGATCATACTCTGGAGTATTGACGAGTTCAACTCCGACCGTTCGACAGTCCCTCCCGCTCCGATTCCCTCCTCGAGCGCAGTTCACAGTAGAACCCCAGTTACTATCCCAGCAAACTCTACTTCAAGTACTCGGTCAGCATGGGGCGGACGCTTCCAGAGGCTTTTACAATTCGAACTGCCACATACTAATCAATTCTACATACGATTTTCCGTTTTCCACGAGCTTGGCCGACACCCGATCTTGGTCGCAGGCAACGAGAAAAGCAAGACCTTCTTTTGGGATCTACAACGCCTGGAGAATTCTGGTACCGGAGAAGATGGCTCTCAGAGCACAAAAGGTTTACCACCAGCTCTACCTAGGCACGTGCGAGAAGGAAGCTCTGCATCCACTGCATCATCTGCTATCAGCGCTGGCTCGGGTAACACTAAGGCCAAACAGCAGAAGCTAAAGGAACAACCTCGGGATCGAGGTGTATCCGATCCTTTTCGTTCGGTAAAAGCTCACAAAATCGTCGAGACTCCGAAGTACAAAGCTTTCGCGTTCCGCCACTTCGCCTGGAGCCGTGACGGTCAGTGGTGTGTCGGCGTCGGTGACTGTGGTACCATCAACATTTTCAACCGTTGGGGAGAGAGCGGTGTTCCTCCAATCGACCCAGATAAAGAGATACCCGTGCAAGATGATGACCCAAAGATTAGTTAGTCTAACCGAACGCCAACACCCCTAGTCATTCGAATTCTGGCCTAGGACAAGCGTTAACTGACATGGTATGAGCAGACAAGGAGAAGATCATTGACTCACTAGAAGGTCTTTGTGAGGCACATGCGCTGCGGCGACAGATGGCGGCAGATCAAAACGAGTTATTTGAAGAAGATCTGAGGCCTCTTCTTGACGAGTATGTGTCCAGTCTCCCAATTCATGAAAGGGAGTTTGCACAGTCACATCGGAAGCGGTAGATTCGCATACGGATAAGATAATCGTATACCCGAGCACGACGGTGTAATGTCACCAGCATCACCGCAGTCACTTCCATTGGCTTGCATTGGCTACAAAAGCCACTGTTGGTCCATGTTTAGCGAGATAAAAGTGGTTGATTCGCAATAGAGATATCGGGCATAGTTTCCAGCGGCCACAATAGAAGGGATTGAGGTTGACACAGATTACAATAGGTTCTCTAGGCAGCCAAACACGCGCTGGGAGTCTGCCACTCGGACGTACCACGGGAAATTACACGACTTCAAACACTGTCCGTTTTCTCAAGCCTGTGTTCATCTTCAACACGATCTCTTAAGCTTGGTATCGCCCACCACTTTTGTCGCAATACAGTGTAGACCTCGAAACAAGCCATAGATACATTTTGATCATTACCACATGTAAACAAAACTCGGACAGTATGCACGCTTACAACATGCATAGTTCACCAGAACCGGCATCTCTTTCCATGCTAACGCACACCACTACTACAACTACCTCTACTACAACCACATCACTGGAGCACATTACTTTCACCATATCAACAAGCTCACAACCCGCACAGTTCGATATCTCTGTTTCTTATGGACACAAAGGCTGGATGCGCTGTCTTGACAGGGCATCCCACAAAGCTGCTGGTTACAATGACGACTATTTTTGCGCCACGCAGCGGCTTGACCTATGGTGTGTATGCTATGTGTCCTATCAAGACTGATACCAATACGGTCTTGTTAAAATTGGAGCTACAATAAATGGAACACTTGAATTCGGTTAAATGGAAAAGAAAAGTAGAATGTAGGGGGAAAGAGATCATCGATGCAGTATGAGGGAATCTCTTCCGTATAGAGCCATATCCCAATAACCATCAACAAAATATCCCGGGAATCGCGCAAATATCATGGCGATATGGTACTCGCAAAATCAATCAAAAGGTAAAGGCAGAGTGTAACATTGATTTAGCTGCGCATCACCAGCCCTTTTTCATATGAACAAGTTAGCGCAAACGCCCCCACGCAAGCCGCCTTCCCCGAACCAAACCCAAACAGGGTCTGCATAAGTGCGCAGCACTTTCCACAAACTTGATCTAAAACACGGCACTCCTGCAGCATGCCGGAAATGATGCCGGCTATCTATCTAAGGAAAAAACAACATAAACGCCGCTCTGTTCTTACGCAAGGCAGCAGAGCTTATCGGAACATTGCTCGACTCTTGTTGCTTTTCCCGCCACGTGGACGCTACGAAATGTTTCTATTTGCACTACACTCTATTGCGCCCGATGAGATTGCTGCAGTGTGACGACAGTCCATCTCGTTATCCTTTGACACTACACAAGTCTTGTATTGAAAGACGCTGTAGAGCAGCTACAGGGATGCAGGCGAATAAACAAAGCGCAAAAGACCCTAAACAAATTGAGCCAAACATGGTATTTTGGCCAACGCCTTCGGTACGGCTTTGTCTAGGCCTGCACTCCAGATATCTTGTTTCACGGCAACGAACAAAGAAGTCGAGATTCTAAGAGAGAACGTTCATGTGTGTTGAGACATTGCGTCTCTTACAGATAGTTGCCTTAAAGATGGAAAGACTACGGGAGGGAAAGATAACATTGTGATATAGTAATAAGAGCGCAAAAACGTACTAAACTCAAAGCCTGGACAATAGAGATGCTCTCCAAATTGTCATCACCAGAAATACCGCCCAATATATCGTGTACATGCACAGAATGCACAACATTTCTCAGGCCAAGCTTCGCCTCGAAATCCCATTTCCCACGAAACTTCTCACACTCCGTCCTCCCAGCCACCAATACTTTACCCCACGCTCAGGCGCCAACATGTATCGATAAACTATCATTAGCAGCATACGACGCACAGACTATAACCTCGGTAACAGTGCCGCCAGTCACCAAGGTTCTCAACAGGCAACGCCAACTCAGTGTCATCACTTCTACAATACACACTATGGCCAACATACGTAGCGCATTTCCGAAAACCCCAGGCAACTTCTGGTGCTCAAATCCACACTGCCGAACTCGCGTGCCGGTCGTTTCACGCTTGATTACCACAACTGGATCGCGCGCGAGGCCACTATGCGACGAACATATTGAACAATCTTTTGAGGTGGATAGATCTCATGGCCCAGTTGGAAGATATGTAGCTTTTTCGAAGGGCACTGACATATCAGAGACCATGGATCTGTACCAGCCCACCGGTGTGGAGAGCCGCTGGGGAAGTAATGATCGAGATGGGGCGGGAAAGCCGGAATTGGGTCCTAGGATTAGTCCTTTAGCTTCTCGGGAAAGCCTTGGGTCTTGGGAGAGTGACAATGCAGAGTTTGTATGGGATACGAAGGCGTTTGATTCGAAGCTCTGCTGGTGAGGCTAACTTGGCCTTTTCATCGAGTTTGATAGGAATGCCGACATTCGCATAAGCAGACTGTGATAACGCTCAAGAGAATGCGCGATGATTTGAGACGTGTGTAAACTACGTGACGCAAATTATGAAAGCCTCACTGGAACTTTGGGATGGTTGAATGAAAGTAACACATGCTGAACCTCAACCCGTATAGAGGGAGACATGGTCCATAGGACTAGATTGAGAAGACACAACCCCTTCTCAGACGGACCTGTAGCACTCAAATGTTGCGCTTGAGTATCGATATCAAACAAGAAAATCGAACACGTCGTATGAGTCGTATAGTGCCTGGTTCAGCTCCGCCATCCACTGCATATGTCCAGCAACCAAGTCATCGAACAGAGAATCCAGAAGACTTAGTGCTGTCGCCTCGCGTAAGTAAAGCTGCCAATGTAACTCTGGCTCATCGGCCTTGTCCATATCATCGCCGGGCGCCGTGGTCCAGCTGTCGTCTACCCCGACTGCAGCCACATCATTTCTCTTCTGACCTAGCGCTGTGATCCAGACATCTTCGCTCTCGAGATGGGATGTCGAGGTCTTCCTACGGCCATAGCGGCGACCCATCTGGGCGTGGGAGTGACAAGGCTGCGTGGCGTATTGTGGGGTAGCTGAGAGAGTGCTGCCGGAACGGGCGTCGAAGGAGCGGTGTGCGGCTGTGCTGCTGCGAGCCGCAGAATAGCTTAGCTCACTCATTGTGATTCGCTCCCCTGGAAAGTCAAAAGCAAACGAATATGTGGAAGTGTGTCCCGAAAAGGCTCCGGAAGGCTGAATGGCTGAGTCATGCTCGTGCTCGCCTATCCACAAGCCGTATTCATTGTTGTGGTCAAACTCAACGTCAAACAACCCAAATCTACAAAGTGGGCAAGTTGTTTTGGTTTGCATCCACCTCGTAATGCAAGTGCCACCAAACACATGTCCACATGGCAGCTGAATCGGGACTTCGGCACCGTCGTCTCTGGTAGACGTGCAGTAAGCGTCAAAACATATGCAGCACCGCTGTGCATCCTCTGGATCCATGCTCACCGGTGCAGACATTTGAATTCTCTCGCTGAATAGCCTCTGATTGGGCATGATTGAGTAGAAGGCTGAGTTCTAGGAAGGCTGCGTGATTCTTGGAGGTCCACTTGGCGTGAACACGATCATCTAGTACCAGCCTCAAGGTACCAGAACAACAAAGGTGGGGAAGAAGTAGGACCCTGATGCCCAAGCATCGTGCGTAGGGCTTCGCATCCCATACAGAGTTTTCTCTAGACAATGTGTACCATGGTACGGTGTGTCGAGTCAGCGTACAACGCGCCGTACCTTCCGGTTGAACGTTCTCTAGGCATCGTGAACAGTGCTCTTTCTTCACTGCCATGTATCACTGTGAGTCCATTGTTTGAGACCAGCCCTACAGGCATGGTCCATTCCAGCACTCGGCAGTCACACGTGGAGATTTGCTCGCTTCCGAACCTTCGCGAAGACTAGCATTATGCAAGTGACATGTTTAGTCGTGCATGCATGACAATCACCATCGGCTTCACCGTGGACTTCATCCCCGTTGTTGTACAGTTGTGGAGTAGCCCCGCATCTCAGCCCGCCTCTAGAGACAGCCATCGTGGCAGACTCCAAGTCTGGTCGGACGTTTTTCGTCGTGGGCGCAGCGTCTAGATCCGCGGAGTGAAGTGCGCCAAGAGCTATCCAGCAGACCGCCGGGCGAGGACTTTGTCTGACTCAACTCAAGGTACCGAACGGATATCTTCAGGGTAATGGCATTGTTTGGAATACTGTGGAGTGCCTAAAATTTCCGACTGCAAGGTTGGCAGCTAAGCTCTAATGTTTCCATGGTTCCCAGAAAACGCGAGCCAGTTGGTATGAGCGGAACCGGTAGCCATGTGAGAACACAGTATCGGTACCGGATCCTATCGACGATCCCAAACCGGTAGGGCGGATGACGAGGAAGATAGCGTCTGGCCTTGCAAAAGGCTGTGGTCTCTGTGCGCTAACTGGGATAAGTACCGTAGACCAATATTGACACCTTGACGCCAGCCTCGTGACGTGGGCTCACCGGCCGCTTTTGGGTTCGACGCTTTACCAAAAAGGCAGCAGGTGTCGACCGCCTACCGGGGCGATGTCAGGGCACTGAATATAGCTGCGTCGTAGCGTGGTTACAGGAAGTTTGGCAGGTACTTCACCCTACTTCACGTTAGCAGTCGTCAACGTCCAAACATGATTCGATGGAACAACGATGAATTACGACTCATTGACAAGATAAGGCTGTTGCCATGTAAGGGTGTTGTTGAGGATTTCTCGAAATCGCAGAAGCCAGCGTGCTAGCGCTATCAGAAGTGGGGCACGCTTGTCCACTCTGGTCGAATTGGTGTTGGTGGTGCGGGAACGGTGCCTGAATACCAGCACGTTTGTGGAAATTGGCTTGACCTATCTCCCGTCCCATCCTGACTTCGCTAAAGGAGATCAGCGTGGGCAACTGACAAGGGGCCCGTTCGTGCGTTAAGCTTTAGCCTCAGTCGCTCTCCCGTCACTATTTTGGGTTGTTTATGTCCCCGGCACTCCTCCTGGACCTTTCGGTGGACACGATCTGTGCAGCGCTTCACCACACTTGTGGCTTGCGATCGTATCATTCCTCAATGCCATCCCTTGCTCCAACCCATGCCCATCGCGATACGATACCTTTCGGGCACAACGAGTCTGCAAGCCACAAGCCAACGGAGTACAGCTGTAACTTGCATCGTTGTTCCAAAGCTCCATTCTGGTCCATCAAGCTCGACACACTCGCCATTTTGGGCCCGATTTGGTCAAGTTGTGTGACTTCACGACCAACATGGCCAGCTGGATACGTGCCGCCAAGCGCTATCGAGCGGCTTTAGCAACAACTGCGGCTTGCAGCTAGCAATACAGGGCTCGGCTAAATCATGCCCCATGTATTCCATGATGATGTCCTGACGATGTATAAGTAAGACGTCTGTTCTCGTCAATTAATGATCTTCATCCACAGCAGCACTCAGCAAGCTTCACTGGCATCTCAACAACACTTCTCTCCACAGTCACCATCTCCACCAAGCAACCTTCAAAATGCGTAACGTTCTTCTCGCTGCTTCCGCCCTTAGCGGCATGGCTGCTGCCCTTCCCCAGATGATCAACATCGAGGCTGCTTTGGCCGTCCCCACTCCCACTGTTCTCGGGCCCCAGGCCACAGAGACAGCTGAGCTTCCCGTCTCCTACAACCAGGATGCTGCCACCAAGTCTGCTGCTGCTGCCGTCGAGACTGGAGGTGTTGTGGTCAAGAAGCGTGACTCCTGCCAGGCCCAGCCTACAGGGTAAGTTTGTATCCAGAACACCTTCACTTCAACCAAGTGGCTAACAATCGAAATAGTCTCGCTGCCCCTGGTGATGGCTCCGTGGACGCTTACCTTGACCCTCAAGGCGAGCTCAGGACGAAGGCCAAGGGAGCAAAGGCCCCAGAAGGATACGTCGAGTCTTTCATTGATCAAACCGGTTCCACTGAACAGATTGGCTACCTGACCTACAAGACTCTGGACGAGTACGACCCTAAGAAGTGCGCCGACTTCTGCGACAGCGAGAAGTTCTGCCTTGGCTTCAACATCTTCTTCGAGCGCGACCCTACCACAGACCCTGCCGTCGGATGCCCCCAGAACCCGCCCCCAACGACCAACATCAAGTGCTCCATCTACGGATACCCCGTCGCTGAGGCGTCGGCTACCAACAAGGGCCAGTACCGTGGTGACTTCCAAGTTGTCATCACTGGTAGCAACGGTAAGCTTTCTTCCTTCTATTCACATATCTTTTGCTAATATCAGCCAAGGATACTCAAAGGCTGGCAAGGGCGTCAAATGCAAGGGCGCCCCCGCTGTCGATGACTTCAATGCTCCCGCCAATCTTCCCGCTGCCATCAACGCTCCCTACATCCAGAAGAACGGCCAGAACTATGACACCTACAATGGCATGCGTCTCTTCAACACCAACCCTTACGACCCTAGCCTCTGCGCTGCCGCTTGCGAGTCGCAGACCAAGTTCGACAAGGAGCACCTCGCCGACGCCAACGGCGATTACAAGCCTTGCAACTTTTTCACCTCTTACATCTTGACCAAGAACGGTGTTCCTCTTGGTACTTACTGCGCTCTCTACACTCAGCACTGGGATGCAAGCTACGCTGTCAACACTGGCTACTACTACGGTCAAGATGAGTACTCGGTCATCTGCGCTGCTTCTTACGACCTTACCACCCAGGACTCTGGCAACACTAACGCTTAGAGTGATTGACCTAAGTGTCGCCGGTAGTTTGATGGAGGGAAACTGCAGATATTGGCATTAGCAATATATATATCCTGAGCTCTCTTCTTGTTGGCTTAATTTCTTAATCTAATTGATATTGCCTACCGATTCACTTCCATGTCCACTTTATGCTCTGAAGTTCTCGTTGGAATGAACTGGAACGAGATAGTTTGATCCCTTCTTCACCCACCTTTTCATATCCAAGAGCTTTATCTGGTTTTGTCATACCGCTACCGATTGATGTTCATGCCATCCGCTCTAAGTCGTCCAAGACCTTTAAGTCAGCAACTGGGCGTACTTGCATGGACGTCTGATGTTCATTACTAGAACGTTCTGATCGTCGCCGTGTAGAGTGGCTAGCGGTAGTTGCACAAGCGCTTCCTATCCGGGACTAGTTTCTGACACCCAACATGTCAGAATGTCAGAATGCATAGCCGGCTCGTCTTTTTCGTTGTATTCTTGGTCATCTTCCATCCACAACTGTCCCCGCAAGTATGGTTATTGGACTCTGTGAGGTTTATGAACTGGTCGTAAAAGATTGGGTCCTGGCTACCTAGGTAGTGCGCAGCTTCCGGTACTCGCCTTTTCACCATGCAGTCGACGTATCGTAAGACGGACGGTGATGGGGGGCCTGAGTAATATGGATGATGCCCAGTATAATGGGCGTATATAAAGGATCGGTCGTCGAAATCGAAATGTGTCCATCAGCGCCAGACCAAGACAAACTTTCAATAATACACAACACCGTACCTACCACACACCAGTCCCTGAATATCGTATCGATTTCTTTTTGGTCAACATTCACGTTCTTGGAGCTATAGAACATGTCCTCCTATCCCAGCGTTGTCCTTATCCCGGGCTCTTTCTGCCCGGCTAGCATGTACGATCCTCTTATAACACCACTCCGTGCCAGGGGATACGATATTCATATTCTTGAGCCACCATGCTACCCTGCCGGCTACCTTGCCAGCTCCGGTACTGGTCATCCAAGTATGTACGACGACGCAAAATATATCAATGATTTTGTGATGAAACTGGCGAACGACGGAAATGAAGTCGTCGTAATCGCTCATAGCTACGGTGGTAAGTTCAAACCCTTCCGTATCGCTGTCTTTAGACGGATGCGTTGCTGACAAGTAACCAATCTAGGCTGTGCAGCCACGGAGAGCCTAAAAAATGTGACAAAGAAAGAGCGAGAGCAGCAAGGAAAAGCTGGAGGGGTAGTACGCATCGCGTACCTTACAGCCGCAGTACCACGTCTCGGTGAAAGCGTTGGTCAGACACTCGTAGGCGGCAAAGGCGCTCCTGTCGATGTAGACGAGGTGAGTCAATACGATTCTTCTATTGTCGTGGATATTGCAGCGAGACTGACATGCTTTTTGTAGAACGGGTGGATGTCACAGCCAGACCCTGCGGCTGTAGCGGCCATATGCTTCAACAATCTCACGCTAGAAGAAGGTCTCTCGTACGTTGCCAAATTCGGGAAACATTACAGTGCTTGTTTCGGGGACGCAATAACCCACCCTGGCTATAAAGACGTTCCAGTGTCTTGGCTCTTCGCTGCCGAGGATCTTATCATTCTGCCGGAGGTGCAGCAGACTGCCATCGATGTTATAGAAGGAAGCTGGGTTGGTACGGAGAGAGAGGGAAGGAAGGTAGATGTTACCAGGGTTGTTTGCGACCACTTTCCGCTTGTTCTTGATGAGAAGAGGAAACAAGTGAGTGAATGGATCGAAGGTGCCGTTGCAAAAGGTGGCTGCGAATAAGGAGAGACGGTGAGCCTGAACTACAGAGTAGGACAACTGGATGTATGCATATTTTAAGATGAGCCTGATGTCTCGCTTGATATCTTGTTTTGAATGCCGCAAGCCGGCGCAACTGTGCCCTTGAGAAACGCATCAAACTCCTTTTGTGGTGTCACCGGGCCTTGGGCTGTGGAAGTACTTAATGCATCGCAAGACCTGTGTAGAAGATGGAATCCTTCCGTCGACCGACAAAGCAGCTAGACCACGACGCCATGCGACGACGTCTTAGGAAACTGAAACTGCCTCACGGATTCCTACCTTCATTTGGTATGGGGCCTATATAGTATCAGTATGGTGTTGCATACACATAGCAGGCTGGCTAACTTGTCGCATCCAAAGTTGTCATGCGAAGCATTCGAGCGCTGCGCAGGCAATTCTCAAGTATGATCAACGTCGTAAGACCATAAAGCACAGAGTAGTAGGTTCAGGCTACATATTCGCATTCGTCCATTGAGCAATTACCACTTTTGGGGCTTCCTCCTAGACTACTGTGTCATGGACCTCCATCTACGTACAGGTGACACAAAGCCACCTGCTAAATGAACACATGTTTGGAGTATGCATTGTTCTGAGGCGGTAAGGCGGAGCCTGATGTTTGGACTGAGGACCAACGAGGCATGAACGTATATAACTGAAACAAGAGTCGGATGCCTTGTAGTAAGCAGGCTGCAAGGCCGGCGTGTGGCTGAGCGGATTGAAGGTGTAGAAACAAGATCTGGAACTCTACGGCATATCTTGGAAGGCGCCTAGGCTCACATACATTTCCTTTGCTGTGAGTATAGCGATCCTCGTCCTGCCAATATCAGCTGACGTAAAAAGTGAATTTGTAACATAACGACGATTGGCGCGACGATGCAAGTTGCCGTTCACGAGTCCAACGTATAGCTATCGCAACATGTTCGTTCGAGACGAACGACAAAACCGCGCGCTTCGACATCCGCACCATACTGAGCAAATGATTCCGAGTTCCGTATCGCTCCAATCGTTGTTAATCGTAGCAAGCAAGAGTCCAGTACGTGGGTGCCGTTTCAACACCATCTTGTAACCGATGGTGCGGCAGAAATGCGAAACAAGCCCGCATTGACAACACCACCTTGGACCACCCACCTAATTACTACACAGCCTACTCTGCCGATTTCATATAAGGAACGCGCATAGTTGGATCGCTTGAAGTTGTATGACCATCGCATTGCTCAATCAATACGAATCGAACCCAAGAAAACCACTAAACATTCACGCTCTTTTCGCTTGAAAAAGGCCCCACGATCGTTACTACCTGAATCCCTGCTCGTAAATATGCGCATCACTATTGCTGTTGTTAGTGCTTTTGTAGCGACTGTTGCTGTTGCGTCACCCATCACATCGCCGTCTACGCCTTTGTCACGGAGACAGGGTCCTCCAGGTCCTGGAGGACCTATGGGAGTAGGGGCTGGAGTCGCCGGGGTTGGAGCCTGTCCGGTAAGTTGTCTACTGAATCTTGATTAATATATGAAAGAATATGCGCTGATGATACCCTCACAGATGAACTGCTGGAACGAAGCCGCGGTAGTGGCAGGTTGCGACCCGAATGCAGACGACGATTGTTTATGTGGACCATTCTTTGATGCTGTAACATCGTGTACAGCGGCCATGTGTAATATGGGGGAGAATCTGGGTATGTTGTGTTGGATCCTGCGAACATAAGAGCAAAGTGCTAACACCACAAACAGCTGCCTTGGATTTCTTGAATCCTGCCTGCGAATAATGAAGAGAGGAAGCGCCGCTGTCGAAGAAGACATGTATGAATATGAGTGTAATACAAGCTCGAGAATGTCCAGTAGAGATAAGCAGATGATCGGTCGTGTATCAGAGGAAAACTAGATGCCCTCTTCACACGAGAGTACTGAGAATCAATCGCAAATTCTCTCATGATCGCTAAGCATGCAAGAGATTGAATCGACCGGAGAGCGTGCATTTGGTGAATGCTGGAAAATCTTGTCTTGAAATCCGATCATACCTATGAGGCAAAACAGCGTCTGCGAAGTGCGTATCTTGCTATTGTAACACTCTCACAATAATTTTCGAATGACGCGGAAGAGACGTAGATTTCAAGCGTGTTGTGCACCACATAGCCCTGCTATCGCAGATTTTTTGGTGCCCTCGGAAATTGTGATCGTAACCACGATTGTGGACTGAGACATGCTGACCTACTATCCGTCCAAGCGCTAATGCAGCACTCTAGAAGGCCTGCATCGGAAGTGCATGGAAATATAGTTGACAAACAATCATCTGTAAGCGATGTCGAGCTCCACCGAGATAATCATTAGAGGTGTTTCCCAAGGCTACGCAGCACAGCGTCGTTGCGTTGTATCGCGAGTTCCGGAAGAACTTCATGTTTCTCCTTTGAGTCTCCACAAACGGAAAGCCTTCCTCCAACCTTTTCCAATCAGGTCCTAGCCATCGTCGCAATCTTCAACCCCACAGTTCCTCTATCAACCTTGCTTTCAGCCACCGGAACTTCATTTTCGCGCAACACATGTTGCGGCTCGAGCTGCTTGGAGACGAGATCGCCGAGCCAGATGCAGCGCCGTTATTGACCCCACAGACCCTGACAGTCCAGCACGTGGGTACATTTGAGCCGCAAAATCAATACAGGACCCATGTATCAGTTTCTCCGCGCTACCATTCTGGGGTAAGTCTGTCTCCAAGGGGTTGAATCCAGCGCGGTACATGTCGCGTAGTATTGACCCGCACGATCGTTGGTGGCGTGGTACTTCGCCCGAGGTATCGGTCAGATTCCTATTTTTTCCGGATTCTCTCAACAACAAAGAAAAAGGGACCAAAATTCTTCCGCGTTAGGACCCGCGGTATCTCGGACCGGCATAATTACGCGTCTTGACTTGTCTGGGGGAAGATACTCGCTTGCATGGCTGGAAAGCTGGAGAGGTCCGGGACCATCTATATGCAGCGTGGGGGTCAGTTTCACATGTCGGAGGACTGTGACCTGCTGGGGATCGTGTTGAACTCCGAGGTGGTGAGAAATATGCGAGTGATGGGGTTTTGACGACATGCAGGTACCATGACAATGTGCAGTGTCTTAATCTCTACACTTTACAAAGTCCTAGCATTAGATTGCTTGGGTAGCAACGAGCGCCATTGTCATGTCACTGTCTGACCACTGACATGTCGTCCAGAAATACTTTGGTACGTTGCCCCACCTCAATCAAGTCCAAGGAGTAGTTACTTGCCCATATGTATACAAGCAACACGTGCAAGCTATCCGACTTGCTGCCACTCTTTCGGGCATTTGCGATATTGGTCGGGTAAATACAAATCTAGATTAAACCTGTATATGTAGTGCTGCGCGTTAATGCGCCAGAGGAATCCGCTGTCGAGATAAGGGAAAGCATGGTAATGCGAGCTAGTCGATTATATGCTGTAGGATGCACATGCGATGCGCGGTCGCTTGGAGAAGTGCTGCACTACGGTGACGCGCACGAGGTAGACTTTGGTGACAGGTGTCAAGCTGTTACCTTGCTTGTTGTCCACAACATGTGAAAGTTGTGTTGCGTCATCATGAAATCATACTAACACTCGCGATCGTGACATCTAGCGCTATTTGAGGTTGCGATGGATGTAGTGTCCCTTTGTGCGGCTTGGTGTCGGTAGACACGGCTGTTACGGGCCTACGGATCCGCGCTTTGCAAGATAGTGATATCCAGGTGTCGAGAACGCTCCGCAACGACATACCACGCAAGAGCCGTCCATCGCCGTGTTGGAGACGCATCTTCAACTTGTGTGTGACACCATTGGATAGTCCACGAACCAGCGGTCAAAGCTGCAAGGCATCTGTGCATCGCCCTTGCGCAGGGCCTCGGGAGCAATCTATATTGCCGTCTGGACAGAACTGATCTGCGAAATAAAGTGCTTGCGCGGACCTGGTTGCGGTCGCTTATGCACATTACCAGCAGCCCGGTACGGCGGAGTGTTGGATTTAAATGAGAGAGCATTGTGCTAGATTCTGCATCTCGTATGCTGTGCAACTGCGGGGACCTCAACAGGTACTTTGGAAACCATATTCTAGACATTTGACAGTGATTGTGTCCCTGCATGGGCGGAGGTAGAGTCAGAAGAGGAAATGTGATGCAGCGAACGTGCGACGAACATTCGATGCCAGCGGCTAACGCAACGCAAGGACGGATGGCATCGGCGCGCAAGACCGAGAATGAAACTTCCCCTGCGAGGATTCGATATCGAGAGAACTATTTGGAAGAATGGTTCAGTTAGTTAGGTCTTTCCTTTGAGCCGCATCGGATCGGAGAGAATGCCGACTGCGACAATGCTAGTCATGGTAAGCCTCCGACAGCGTGAGACGGTGCTCTCACGATAGGCGGAAACACCGCCGTTTCAGGAAACATATACGCTGATCGAGATGTGGAGAAAAGGGTCCCCCCACAGTCCACGACGCTGTATCCTTTCCTGTGACTGGTGCAATTTCTACCGGCAAAACTTCGTTCCTCGACGCAAGTACCATTCTGGTGATCCGCGCCTCTAAGAGAGACCATGTACGTGACTCGCATGTCGCCAGCCTTATCCGCCGCGATTTCCTGCTCAGGCAGGTCCGCAGTCGCCAGTGTGGAGACCCCGCAAGTAAGCGATTCTAGGATAGAGGATGGATTCACGGCCTGGATGGGCGGCTCTAGAAGCTCGCTAGACGTCCTTTGCTTTGTGGTCCCGAGTCAGCAAGCAAGGGGCGGGAAAGCTTGGTAGGATTTGGTATTTGTCCCGCCGGCTCTGTTATCTGGGGTGAATAGACGACTACCCTCGGAACCGGTTGCTGCTAATGTCGGCGGCTGACATGGAAATGTGCCCCGTCAGCTGAGACGCACATGTGGGACGGAAGTATACTCTCCCCTTTGTCCTGCGTTATCTTTGCTTTTTTGGGCCGACGAGAAGAGGGGCGGATCTATCTGCCAAGTGGATTATTGGGGAAAAGGCGCGCGAGCTAAGAGGCCACGATGTTCAGGTACGTGAGCAGATTGGCGTAACATCCGTTCTGGGTAATCCACGGCGGAGCTACGCTGATAAGTCGTGGCATGTGCCGCAGTCGCATAGCGATTCTGGAGCTGTTTGTCAACCTCTTCCCATACCATAGTCTCGCTTTTTGGTTGTGGTACGACGGCCTTTTGCATCATGTCGGTCCGGTGGTAAATCCTTTGTTGGTTTCTCGCAGGATTGATGGCATACACATACGTATGTATCTTCGCTGCGCATCCGCCGGCCCGACATTGATCAAACGCCGCAATATCTAGCGTCTAGCCAGCGGAGAAGATCCCGCCAGACCTGCCGATTCGCACATTCGAGATTTTAAGATCGTCATCGCTGTGGAGTAATGACGGCGCTGCTGCGCTCCAGTCCGGGGTACATGCCCAGGTGTACCAGAGGTGATCGCCTCAATCAACCGGCGGGAGATAGTTGCAGCGAGGGAAGATAGGCTGTGAGAGTTTGGCGCTTGCAAATCCGAGACAAGCAGTCCGACGAGTCGCTTGGAAGTCCGTCGAATCGCATAGTTTCACAAGCAAGCGCGGCGTCTGCCGATGGACAAGTGCGATTCGTGCTTTGGTGAGGACAGGAGATAAGCCAGCACGATTCGATAGATCCCCGCAAGGATACCAGACAGCCAAAGGATCTCGGAAATTGGCAACGTCGTCGGTTCTGTCCATTTAGAACCAAGGCGCCTTCCGGTTTCGGACTCTGACCATGGAGCATTGGAAGCGCCACTTTTTATTGCGTGTGCCACGCACTCCACAGTCTGACTCCTTCCCTGCTGCCCTGTTCCGTGCTCTCCGCAAAAAAAACTTTCAGGGCTCTTGTGTCATCACTCTGCTAGCGCCAGTGCCGCAAGGTGTGCCATAATTGTCATGGGCTGGAGCTTATCGCACGCAATGCGGAAAAGGACAATAATAGCTGCTAGTTGCTCACACGAGATGAGTGATCAAATGAAACATGTCTGAACGTCGTTGGTGTGGGTGGGTTTCCTCTGCTCTCACCGCATCTTCACTCTTCCTCCTCCGGGGTAAGGCACCCCGCGTGAAGGAAGATCGCGTTTGGAACAGAGTGTGGTAGTACCAGACAACGGAATGTGGGGAAACATGATTTTTTGGTTGTGTGATACTCGTCTGATCCGTGTCGTAAGATTTATTTGTTGGCCTACCAGGGGATCGACGAAACTTATCTGTGGGGAAGATTGAGCGTGGTGGTTGGTCGTGGTGTGGAGAGAGATCAGGTAGATAGGCTACAGAATCCCAGCGTTCCGGGTTGATGCAAGTATACCCTGCGGATGATTCTCGTTGCTCGCATCACAAGGGTGCTAAATCACGTCACGCATAGCGACGTACTTTACCATAACATAACCATCTCGTAATCGCATTTTGGTACAAGCGTGGGTGTGAAATAAGTATGGATTGGGGTCTGCAATTAAGCGCTAAGCTGAGTGTATGTTGTCTAATCTTCTCTGCACTGCCAATAAGCAGGCGCTTCCCTCGCGACAGCCTGGCCAACAAAACAGGGCTGAGTGGAACATATACAAGATTGCGAGCCGCCAGATGCGGCTTCGCGGGGTATTGGATCCGACAAAACAGTAAGAAAGGTCTATCTGGGTGGTGGGGCCCGCAATGTGACAGGGAATCGTGATATGCCACAAGCATTACCCCTCATGAAAGTTTGTCCATATCTAATCTCATCGCTTGCTAACGTGAATGACGAAATGCAAAAATGCTGACAGAGAACGCCGGTGCCATGCTAGTTGAGTGGAGTTGAAAGTTTTAGTTGCGATGTGACAGGTCCTCGCCGGCTAACGAAGCGGTGGCCGAGGAGTTGCCGGAAGAAAACCCGCTATTACTCGGGCCATTGAGGAGATCCTGGACGGCGACCTTGGGAACTTGCGGAACCGGCAGTTTGCGCTGAGCGCCCTCTGGTTTTGAGATGATGTCCCCTATGCGCAATCCGGAGGATTGGCTGGGTACATAGGGCTGTTCCCGATCCGTAGATGGCTCCATTGGTGCGAGAGCTGGTACGAAATTCTGATTCAGACTCAGATGACGTAGATGGGGAAGTTGGAGATCGTTGAATCCGTGGGGACGTAATCTTGGTGAGTGAGCAGGGGTTGCGAGCGGGGTGTGGTCAGGAGTCGGACTGCAGGAATCGTGGGAAAATGTTGGCGATGGCGGGGCAGTCGATGTCGGCGAGCCTGGTCTTGACTTCTTTGTCATCCTGTGCGAGTACGGATCGTCGTCCTCGTGTGAATGAGATCTTGACATTGGCTGCGACGAGTACGCATACTGGGAGAGACCTGGTAGTCGGCTCGCGTATGGATGATAGCCGCTGGTGATGTGGTGTCGACTTGAGTGCGAGTAGTGACCAGGACGCTGCTCTAGTCTCGAGGCTGCGTCTGCGAGCAGATCCATGGGGCGGGACAGGCCGCTAGGGCTGTTGCTGTTACTGCTGTTGAAGCCTCCCTGGTGGTAGGCTGCTAGATCATTGCCCATGTTCGGCGAGTAGTTGGAGAACGAGTGGGGTGGCGACACATTTGGTGAGCCAAGCTGAGAGCCCGGCGCGCTGCGAGAGATGGGCTTTGAAGGAGGAGGCATCATGTGCGCAAGGCCAGATCCGGGCTCCATCAGACCAGCCTGAACAGCAGCTACAGCCGCCTGGTGAGCGGCAGCATGTTGTTGACCCTTGCCCCTACGGGAGTTGGGGTTGTTGTGTATCCTCGAGTGTCTGTGTCAAATTAGCTAAAAATTCATCGATAGTTTGGGGTGCGACTTACCGAGTGAGTTCATCAGAGCGAGAAAATCGTTTTGTGCAGCCTGGAAATGTGCAGGCATGGGGCTTCTCTCCAGTGTGGGTGCGGATATGGCGAGTCTGGTGTTCCAGACGGTGGAAAGCCTTATCGCAAAGAGGGCACTTGTAGGGCCTGGGGAGATCCTGTCGAGGCTCGTCCGACTGTTGCGGGGCGTTTTGCAGCAGAGGCGCCATGAGGCTCACGGTAGCAGTAGCCATGGAGGTTGGTTGGGAGGTCGAAGTTGGTTGCTGTTGTTGGAGTTGTGAAGAAGTGTCGGGGTTCAGCAGGTTGGCGAAACCTGTCGAGGCAGAGTTGGATTGCATGTGACCGAGGGTGAAAGTTGGGGGAAGGCGGATGATGGGGGGCTCGGATATATGTATGGATCAACTAGGCGGGCGTGTGGGGGTCGACTGATGGCCGTCAGGGCTGTCTGTGCTGACGCGGGCGAGGATATGCCGGAGCAAGCGCAGAAAGAAACGCGGTGCGCCAGTGCGGCTTGGCTTCCTTCGGGGGGCGCTCGAGTCGTGGAGACGTATCAAGAATTGCGGGTCCTTGAACGCTTGCGTGATGACTTGCGGAGAGGGGCGTGCAGCGGGTGCAGGGAGTTGCTGGAGCGAGACTCGAGTGCGTCGGAGGCCTTTTTGGGCGAGAGCGGGTGAGATGGGGGATGGGAGGTGATGGCGCAGTACCTAGCGGAACTTGCCTTGGGCCGACGCTGGTTTTGATGGCTCAGTCCCTGGTGGAGCGGCGATACTTGGTTGAGCGCACGATGCAATTTGCAATCGTGAGAATTCTGCAGCTGAAATTTTGCAGCGGTGAGTGTCGGCGAGAGGTTGCAGGTGGCTACGTGAGGCTGTGTGGACTGAGGGTACAGCGTGTATGAACAGCAGACCGGGGCCCCCAAACACGCCTGGGGGGTAGCAACAATCCAAGTGGGCGTACGTGAGCAGAGTGAGGCAGCCCGGCGGCACGTCAGATGGTGCTACGTCGCTGCGGAGAGTGTGGGTGGGCTATGCTATGCTATGCGGTGCGAGCGATTGACGCCGCGAAGCTGGGGGAGACTGATAAGGAGACGGCGGGCTTTGTATGGGGTGCTGGAGACGTCACACATCTGGGGTTTGTTTGTGCTCCCGCGTCTCATCGACGCCCTCTCCTCAGCTGCCATAGGTGCGGCTTCCCCTCGTGGTCCTGCCTCCTCCGTTGCTGCCCTCTCGGCGCACACGGCGTGAGACGAGCCAGAGAGATGCCTACACTACAACACCACGTATAAGCTGCGGGACCACCACTGCTGCCAATTCACCCACCCTCAGGGGTCCACGCATGCACGCCCCCAAAGCCCGACGATGCACTGAGACATGTCTGCACTCACATCATCCCAGCTGTTGTCGACTTGTGCTGAGCGCTTCCGCACATCTCCTCCACCCATTGGCCTTGTCAAATGACCAATAACGCCCTCCAACACACTCCCCGATTTACCCACTGGCTTTGCTCGCGTTCCACCGCAGCCTGGGGACTGATCGAGCACACTTTCATGGCTGTGGGGGATCACTTCCTGGGGTACGGCAGGCACAGCACGCAATATTGAGCCACCGTCTCCGACCCCCAAGACCCCTCGCTCCAGTGCCTCACACAGCATCGCAATATCTCTCGCATCATCTACCAGCACATGCTTGGAGGGGTCCGTTGAGCTCCGTGCTACCGAGCCGGCCACTTTGCCTTATACTACGGGCCGCCTTCTATGCGTCCTCCCGGCCTGTGCACACACAAGACTCAGATGAAGCTGGAGTCGGTGAACCAACGCAGGGCGAGGGCGATCTCTGCCGAGTAGTGCCCAATACTGACGATGCATCGGCAGAAGGAAAAACATGGCTTCACTATCAGCTCATACTGTGCGAGGATTTTTTCCAACTTTATCGCAGCCCCTCGGTGACCCGTATTGGTCTCCGCCTCGGTCCCGCAACCCATCTCCGCTGCTCGTTATCTCCAACGCGAGCCATGTTCTCCTACCCCTGTGCTTGGCTTTTCAGCAGATCGTGGGGGACTGCAACGGACCGGCTGTCCCGAGCATTATGACGCCCGCTTTCTTGGTATTGTTGCCTATGTGAGAACAGCTTAGCTGCTATAGCCACGCCCCTTGAAGTCGCCGATACTTAGCAGGGCACTGTTGCAAATGCTACGCTGCAATCTCATTTCGGGTCCGCTATTCTTATCTATTGTTCGACAAATTTTTGAGTACTGCTAGTCTCTCGATAGCTCGCCCCGCTTTGGGGACGCTTCCTCCGAGCATACGCCTATGCCGAGCCGACAGAAATTTCTCGCGCCAGCAGGACTGTCTCTGCGATAAACGTGGCCTCGGAGATTCTCGGAACGTTTTGTGCTGGAGTTGGGGCTCCGCTCAATACTACCTCGGTGACGTCTTAGCCGCTTCTGGACCTCCGATATGCAAGGTACGCCTTCGTGGAAGCTTTCATGGAAGCACTGTCCTTCCACACGGCACAAAGTACTAGACCCGAAACCTCTGATTTATGCCGACGTTCTCCCAACACACGTTTCACTTGTGAACAGAACGGTAAAACGTTGACTGAAATGCAGTTTCATGGTTTGTTAGCCGACCTTTGATCTAGTTTCCAGCCATGTGCGACAGTTGCTTAACGTCGGTCGGAACGTAAGATTCCAAGCTGTTTGTGCCGTGAGACCATTGCTGCAAAGGTTTTGCGTTCTCGTCGCCCAACAAGACCTGACACCAGACTTGAGTCTCCAGGGTACCTCCGGTCCATCATACTGACGTGTTTCACACATTTGGAAGACCACGTTACGCGTCAAAATCCGCAGTGCCCGATTATATCGGTTGATCCACGGTCGGTCTCTGGGGCCCCGCACCGTTGGCAGTGGCTCATGGATCGAGACGAGGCGACGGCGATCCAGGGGCTTATATCAATGACATCGCCACCTCATCAAATCCGACATTCTCTGCTTACCCCTAAAGTAGCAATCTTGGCCTCCGTTACTCGACGTCAGGCTTTCGTTGTCGACGATGAACGAAAGATCCAACACTAGAACGGCTCCATGTACTCCGCCAAGCCTTGGTGGCAATCTCAGTGCACAGATGGTGGAACGGCTTACGAATGCTGCATATTGCTCGGGGCGTTGTATGTAATAATGGCGAGATGGGATGTCCTTTAATGCAGTCGACCAGCTCGAACGACTGCCTATGCACATGTCGATCCTACGTCAGGCTACTATCTCCACAAGCCCGCAAAAAGATCGACCTTGCAAGATGCGGCTGCGGCGCTCGACAAACTCAATATTTCGACCCTTACTAGTATTGGACGCGAGACCAGCCCACACTCTTCTGGCATTAACGCATCATAGTAATCCATTATCACCCCCTCATAGATCTTCGCAGCTACGATCGTAATTTCTGGGGATAATCAATCGGATGCAGCCCGCGGATGAAAGGATAGTGTTGTCGATCTGCCTCTAGTCCCGGGGAGATTCTCGTCGCGCCAGGATGATCGCACTTTCTGAGACCGGGGTTAACATATATCATACTTGAACTATCGTGAGACTCTTAGCTGTATAAAGATCATGATCAACGTATAGGGTAATTCATGGCGGAACTTTCCAGGCGCGAGACGACCGGGGAAGGTCGTCAACCGACAGAATGGGACTCTTTGTGGTCATGATCATATGATGTACAGATTTTGATGGCGGTAGTCCCAGTTTGTCTGCCCACCATCTCATGTGCATGTCTACGCTTGAAGTCACATTGGAAGTAAAATATGTCGGGTCCACGTTGTGCCTTGTCTTAGTGCACACGAATACACTGATGCAGATATGTGGGTAATGAGCGACTGTCGTTTATCTGCCCACGCAGCAAAGATTCTCGTCTCGTCTCGTGTCTGTGCTGTCGTGCAAGCAATCCATCTAACGCCAAACGAAAAGAAGATGATACCGGAGAGAATCTACGAATCTGCGTACATGTATATCCTTACTAACGATAGGAGACGTAAAGTCGTTCAGCAGAAAGTTACACATATACCGACTATCACGCCAAGTTTCTGCCTCAGCTTGACACTGAGCGGAGGTCACTGTACCAGAGTTGATATGCCTTTGAACATGAGAAGTGATATGCAGTTGCCTAACATACAAAATGTCCATGTAAGAACAATGCACAGATTGTATGCGGACTTGATGATCTCTGTTGCAATAGAAACATAGGTTTGAACTATTTGCTTCCATGAACAGGCATGACTGTATTATACACCCACGCGTTTTGTTTCTACAGATTGAAATTTAACATCACTCTTCACCTCTGTGTCAACTTCATGCTCCTTTCTCGGACATTATTATGGCCTCTTAAATGTCCCCTTATGAGAGTCGTACAACCTGAACTAGGGAACTATGAAGTTGTGAGACATTGCAAAGCGATTAGACGCGTCTAGCCCGAAAGTGTAATTGAGATTCTTTGCAGGTCGGTCTCGATCGTTTTAAGTAGACGCGTAGTAAGGTCATACAGAGAATCTCGTGTCAAATTACGAAGTATACATGCCGGCAAACTCTTCTGTGTATACATGGTGTTGTAGAGAGATAATCTAAACTTCAGCCTTCATCACAGCGGCGCTTGCCACCAAATATCTTCTTGGTCGAAATCCACTACAGCATACACCATGTACAACAGTGTACAATGCCAGCCTTGCTCCTCACCTTTATTCCTCTATTCTCCGGATACGGTTACCCGATCTATAATCCCGTTACGTACGCATGCCCTCCCCCTCCACACCTCCTTCTACAGACGAAGGCATAGTATCGAGCCGAATCTCTAAACACCAACATCAGGATCAGTACCACGATCCCCACATTAGGCGTCCAAGAGAAGTGAAGATCTTGCTCCCCAGGCGGCTCGGTTCCCAGTACACCGAGTGACAATCGCGAGCTAGGGCCGCAAATGCCGTCTGTTTACACAACCTCCGCCTCTATCAAGGAAAAAGATCAACGGCAGGCGATAAGAAGTAGTGCCTTTGCGGAGAAGCGTGGGGAAACAGTGACATCGCAAGGTTAATACTAAAGCAAGAACGTTCTGTGTCTGGCGTTAAGCGAGGCTCTGGTTGCTGTGAAGCCGATGCTATGCGTTGAAGCCGTGGCTGCTTGGTTCTGGGATGGCGCAACAGATACTGATTATTGTGGAGAGCGTGTAGAATTCGTGTAGCTCATTGGTGACAGGAAAGAAGACCTAAGGTTCGTTCATACATGCGCTCTTCGCGATAGAGCAATGTACTGGATGTCCGCTTACTGTGAAGTCGGGATCGAAGATAGGTGCTTCCCCGGTGAATTCGTGTAGTTTGTTTGTGCGACTGTGGGGTAGTCAAGTGCCATGGTATAAGTGGCTTGCTATGATACCATTGCCGCACTTTAGCAGCCTGCTCTTGCGGTCTTCTCCTATCATGTTGTCAGGTGGTCTCACCGTGTGTGCATCCACATGCATCCGGAACTTGAAACGAGCAAGCTTGTGGCAGACCCCCACGCCTGGTCGACACACCAACCCCGCTGACCCCGGACTCGCGAAGCGTCGAGCCATCATCATCCAAAAGAAGCACGAATTCTGCCGGTGAGGAACCCAGGGCTTTGGGTCTGCGGGAGCTTCCCCGATCCCTGTGCGTAGCGCGTGTGCACCGAAGGTCTGGGGTGACGCATGCACGTGTGAAGGCTGATAGGTTTCTTATTGTGGAATATGAACTTGCTTTTGGTTGCTTTTCGTGGATACCGCTAGTGTGGCAACGAAACCCCCAAGGCTCTGCGTCTAGGCCTGCTCCAAGGGATGACGGATGCGGAGCAAATTTACCGCCGGAAGAATACATACATGTCCGAGCTGAATTATGCGAAGAGGAGAACATGGAACCATGACGCGGAGAGACACTTTGTTGCTGATGTCAGAGCGCTTCGAATGCGGGCGGGTTAATGCGGAGACGGGTGTGGGTGTTCTCCATCCCAGGGTGTCTGGATAACCCCACACGGCTGAATAGCGAAACCCGTCTCATGGGCTCACGGCCCTGTATCATCGGTCTGAATGTGAGATCTCATCTTGATTGGAAAGCTCCGTCAGTCTGGGTATCTTGTATACGACGAGTAATTGGAGACATACGAGCTTACCCCAGATGTAAGCAGAGCTTCCCCGATAAGCAACGCGCGTCGCGACAAAGTAAAGACATGGCAAAACTTGGTTTCGGCCGAAGTGTAGGGCGAAATTATTCTTCTGGAATCACACTGTAGATGTCCGTATTACTTTCTTCTTGTGGCCCTCTGCAACGACATCTAGGCGTTGTCCTGCAGCGTTGTCCTCGTCAACAGGCGCTTCATCCATCATAAACCCCTCAGTGGCGACTTCATCGTCTTCGATCCAGCCATAGAGCTCGTCGGAATTTGGCTCTGCATCGGCATGCTCATCGATCTCGGCGAAAGGTCTTTTGGGCGGTCGGTCTTCTTGTTGGCCATAGATAGGGGTTGTGATATCGTCGGCTGCTACGTTCATGTCGCAAAGACCAACCTGTATAGCGTCAGCGGGAGATGACCACAACGGACGTTGGAGCGCATCTTGTTAGATGAGGGCTCTGCAGGTAATATATTGACGCACATGGTCGATGGTGAAGGGTACCACGTTGCCCACACCCCCTTCTTCTGCCAGAGCTACGCCATTCGCCTTGACTAGGCCAGCAAACCGGGCTTTCTGCAACCTGTCGGCGTCTGCCTTGTTTCTGGCTTTCCCGTGCCGGAGCCAATCTCTAAAAAGGACCAGACGAGTGGAAATACCATTCTCCCATTCAACACCTGATATTGCGGGTACCAACAATGCGCGCGAACCACCACGGATGCGTGTGATGGTCTGGCTTGTGATTAGGAGTGCACTGTCGTGCAGCGCAGCAAACTTAGTGAAGGTGGCTATCAGTTGATTTATGACAGTGTATCGGCGTCCTGCAGCCCACCGCGCCTGATCTGTTTTATTCCTGGGCATGCGGTCGTCAACGTTGCGGGGGTAGGCGTTGTCGACGAGGGTCGCGAGAGAGTCGATGACAACCAGGCTAGTATTTTGCGGGGGAAAGGCAGCGGGGGCATGCACGAAGAGGGCCAGGAGATGTGCAAGCGTTGGCACAGGAATGTAGTGGAAGTGGCTACGCAGTTCCTCTGGGGAGACGTCGGACGCATCGGGGCGTGAAGTGAGCATGTCCTCGACGCGCTGCTTGACCAGAGGCGCACCAGCAGCATCTGCAAGCAATTAGTCGTTGTGCCCAATAACCAACGCTGATATGTACACACCGAGCCACACTACTCGCTGGCGCTCGCGCAGGGCAGAGACTGCGGCCTGTATCCTTGATGCCTTCAGCCACCGTCCCTCTAGAAGCCGTGACGCAGGCACATTTACCCAAATGCTGTCTTGCCGACTCCTGACGGGCCGAAGACCTCAGTCACCTTCCCACGCATGTATCCGCCCGAGACATGATGGCCCGGTAGGCTCGGTGGGGCGAGGACCTTGTCGAGCTGAGGCACGCCCGTCGACACAGTGCGAGCTCCGCGGGCATGGAGGCTCTGAAGGGCTTGGGATGCCGAGACAGTGGGCAGTCTATCTGCTGCAGTGTAAGCCTTCCAGTTGATATGTGCGAGGGAGGCAGTTGCGTACGCGACGAGGGGGGGAGCTGCGATGCTTGCTGGCTAGCCATAGTGTGTCGTCTTGTGTCGTGTCGTGGCTTGCGATTGAGTCTCAGCGGCTTGACTTGGTGGTGCAACAGTCTCGTGATTTCGCGTTCACGCGCATGACGTCTCGCGTTTCTTGACGTGTCCTGTGCGGAACGGGGTGGACGAGAGGTGTCGAGGAAGGATGGGTGGTGGTGTCCAAGTTATTTCGTCACGAGCAATAGCGAACCGCGGTTCATGACTCGCACGCCCTCTCCCTTCGTCATCCCATGCTTTCTCACCATTGCACCCATCTTGTGTCAACAGAGTATACTGCAACACGGTCTCGAACCACCTGGTCCTTCATACTCATACGAGAACACCTGCCTTCTGCGTCCTAGCGTCAACCAATTTGCTTGGACTTATACCTTGGCATGTTTTCACGATAAGAGCTGCTTCCTCAGGCTTATATCCCCCTTGTGAACACGCAACACTTTCTTCTTCCGGAGACGACGTGAACGTCTACGACAGCATGGCGCAAAATGTTGAGCACATGCTCATTGCTGCCAACGACATACTGCAGGAAGCAGGCATCAACATAACGCTCCAGACGATCCTCATCACGACCGTATCATGTATCGCACCTGTGATACTTTTACTCCTTCTTGCCACCCTCAAATCGCCAGCATCACTGCCATCACCAGCCGGCTGCAGGAAACTCGGAATCCGAGGACGCAGCAACCTGGAAGACCAGTACTCGAAAAGATATGCCAAGGGCAGCGACCCCACCCCACAGAAGCCATGGACAGTGAAGGCTCTCTTTGTCTACCCGCTAAAGTCAGGCGCACCTGTCGAATTGGATAAGAGTGATATCGATCGTACAGGGCTGAAGTATGACCGCCAATTTACTCTTGCCCAACAAGTCACAAGTCTGCCTACGCTTGACGGAAAGGTCACAAGTGAATGGCACTTTATGACCCAAAGAAAGTTCCCTCGCCTTGCTAAAGTCGAGACTGAGATTTGGGTACCTGACCCTTCGGCTGGAGGCTACAAAGAAGATGGAGAATGGGTAAAGAGCGATGGATGCCTGATAATTCGGTTTCCTTTTTCTCCCGACACGGATTTCACTTTGGAAGGCTTGATAAACTACGGAAAGATTATGTTGGCGAAATTGGGCCGACAATCGGAGCCGACACTGGAGTTTAGAGTACCATTCAACCCTCCACAAGAGAGGATAGAGAAAAAGGGATATCGAAATGAAGTCCTGCGCATCTGGAAGGACAGCCCAGTAGCACTCAACGTTAGCTCGGAAATTGACCGCGAGGTATTCGAGAAGCTGAGGTATACTCTCGGTGCGGCAAATCCAATTGCGCTGTTTAGGATTGATGCAAATGCTTACCGAGAGGTACACAAATGTGCGCCTAAGAAGGAAGACGTTGGGTTTGAGACGGTCATCGGAATGCATGACTCGGTACGTATAGACCTTGCCAACAGCCATATCCTTGGACTACCCACGGGCATACACCAAGCTCATTGCTAATCATCTGACAGTACCCTGTTCACATCCTGAACCTCGCCTCTGTCCACGACGTAGCATCTAAGCTTCCCAATCCCTCCTCCGATTTTGGGGAAATCTGGCAGCGGCATCTTACCCTCCTTGACGCCTTACGCTTCCGCGCAAACATCTACATCACTGGACCCCCTGCTTTTGCTGAGGATAACTGGAAGAAGGCGAAACTTACTTCATCCGATTCTACATCCTCCCTAGACATGCACATCTCCTGTCGGACAACAAGATGCAAATTGCCAAACGTTGACCCAAAAACCGCTATAGCCGACAAGAACGAGCCATTGACCACATTGAGGAGTTACAGGATCATCGACCAAGGATCCAAGAATGCCTGTTTGGGTATGCAAGTCACGCCATTGAATATGGGAACCGTCGCGGTAGGCGACAAGATCGAAGTGCTAGAAACTGGGAAGCATTTCTTTGATGGAGGCGAGGGAAAGAAGGTTGATGGTTGAGCGGTTTCAGAAGCCTTTAGGAGAACAAAGCTCATTCGCAATACAGAAAATTGCCCTAGTAGACCCCTCACATAAGCCTCTCATCATCTCCGATTCGTTCGCAGTACGCTTTACCCTACCCGTGCTGATAGCTTTTTAGATCATTAGCCATCCCCATTTTTTCTCCCACTCTTCTTCCATCCTCCAACCACTCGGATCCCAACACGCGCACCCTATGTCGATAGTAAAACTTGGCATAGTAAAAAGATCCTTGCATAACTCCTCTTCATCCACCACACCTCTCAGTCTTATCAAACTATCCCGCATTCGTGGAAATGGTAGCCGATCGATCCACCGTGGGTGCACAATCATCTGTTGTAGCTCTGTCGGATGTAGGGGCAAAGGGATATGCGGCTTTGGCATGGGTGTGCGCGAGGAGTATGATATGGCGCAGGTGATGCCTTGGATATCGCCGTTCATATAGAGCGCAGAAAACACAGTCAAGGGAGTGGAGATTTGAATAAAAGGAGATAGAGTGGCGTATGGTTCTGAATACGGTGTGTAACTTGGATTGGAGACAAGTATTTCCGACTCTTGGTTAAGTTCGCTAATACGTGACTTGTTGGAGTAACCAGGTGATGGCAAAAGTGAGTTTGAAGCACTAACAAGTGCGAGTGAGTTATGATCATCCTCAATTGGGGCCTCCAGTGTTACAAGGGCCCTTGGAGATGTTGGGTATTGGTCTTGGGGCAGTCGCGCTACTGACAATCTGGTATCCAGCTGAGCTTGTCGTAATCGCTGCCCTGTATCTCGAGTTAGTATCCTCATACTACACATGCGGCGATTCATACATACGTCGCGCACGTTGTGCTAATCGGTCTTGTATTTGCTTCCTCTTCTTTGCATCTCGAACATTTCTCCATTCATCATCCTTGGGGTCTGTTCTTCGTACCATGTTGTGATACTACGCAGTTTCTAGCGTTGCTGGTATGACCTGTCTTTGCTGGAGTGTACGATTGAACAAGAGTTGGCTAGAGTGGTTCGATAAGGCGTCCATCATGCTTACAAATGGAAGTATAGGCAACAGGTCACTGCGCCAGTTGGCGCAGGCCTCGCATAAAAAACCATTATATTGAAGGACCGGAGAACTTATCACTGAGGTCTACATTATGCATGATTGATCTCTAAAATTCTTGCGCACATTGTTCTGCAAGTCTGTCGCGTACAGAATCGAGCTTCAAAAGATAAATTGGGGCTGCTTTTCATATCTGCTCAACAAGAATGAACATATCTTGTTTTGGAAACCACATACACAATCATAACTATTGGCTGATTGGAATGCTCTGCGTATCCGTGGACACTTGAGCATGTGCTGATTGCTGCATCGGAAAGAGCGATGCCCATTCATAATATACATCGTCTTCAACTCTTTGTGTACTACTCTAGGTCATATCGGCAGACTGAGTGTTTCAATCTACTTGGTCACCGGAAGCCTATATTCACAGGGGGACATGACGCAGCGATGGGCAGATGGAAGCCAGCCTTCATAACGTCTGAGACTAGGTACGGCGCTGCTTAGTCATCGCTGAAGTATTCAACCCCTGCTATGTCTTTTCGGCATTGCTCCTGCTCCAACATTTCGAACCTCTCGCAATCGCTTCACAACTTCATGTTTAGCATCCGGTAACGGTTTTGCAAAAGGACTCGTCACCCCTACGTCTCAATGCGTCATCAGCCCCTCAAGAATGTTGCCAACCACTTATGACGGCTGCACAGCCTGTTGGGGGCCAATATGGCTTCCGAGATGTGAGGCTGAGTTCTCACGCGCATCTCTGGGTGCGACCGACCCCAACCAGAGCAAACTGGTGCCTTATACATCTGGACTGATCTCATGCTCCTGACATCTTTCGCGTCAAGCCGCGCGTCAGACAATGATGCGGCATGGCGGATCCATTATCCATTACTGCTAGTATTATCACGCTTTTACACGTCTCTGTTCAAGTGACGGTGCTGATCAAACAGTTTCGCGATGAGGTTGTGGTCGTGGATGCGACGCTTACGGGCCTTCTCGACGATGTGAACGGGTTCCAGCGCGTACTGGAATCCATGAAAGAGACCATCGAGGAAAACAACAACAAAGAGACTCTACAAGCGACCGGCCATGTGGGTAGTCACTGGAAGAATCTCGCGCGCTCGCTAGAAGACGGTGCGGACGCTTTACAAAAGTTACATACCACCTTAGACGGGGTCAACAAAAAGTCATCGATATTGGATGCACCACGAAAGCAGCTTAGGCTAAAGAGTGCCTCTGAGCAGATTGCTCGATACCGAGAACAGATTCAAACATCTCACACAGCGATTCAACTATCGCTCAGTACAATTATTCTGTAAGTGGGTTCTCCTGGGGACGTTTGTTACCCCGCTCTCAGCCTCCTCCATGCCATCACGTGGCTGTTATCACTGCTTACTTCACTTGTGTTGGAGCACGTAGTGCGAATCAGTGTACCCCCTAATGCATAATGTTCGTTTTGCCGCTCTCATACTGACACAAAACTCAGCTGGAATCAAGTGACTTTCCAAAGATCGACCGAGATGATACCAGATAAGGTTGTTCCAACACTGGACAAACTGTACGATGAATTTCGTACGTTTGGTGCTCTTCTCAATACAAAGATCGAAAAGCTTCAGCATACAGTTACAGACCAAAATGACCCAGACAACTACGAGCTTATGTATATGAACAACTTGCGGGAGTGCGTTCGCTCAGCCGCTGATGTCGTCTCAACTGCATCGACAACGCTCAACGCAGAAACAAGTGACAAGATTTCTGTCAAACATGGTTCTGATTTCGGAGACGTCTTTGTCAAAGACGCGAATGAACCCATGTTACGTTGGTTTGCCTCAAACACCGTGTATGAATTCGAAGATGTGGAGGCACCTCTACCCGCTCCATCAGAAGCTAGCACAGGGGATGCGCAAACAGAGTATCAGTCAGATAGCGACTCAGATATCGAGAATGACCTGATCAGGTCTCTTTTCAACGAGGGTAGAAAAAGGAAGGACATTGGTGATCTAGAAAGTGCGGTTCGCTATTTTCGAAACTGCCTCACGAGGCTGTCGTCGAATACTAGCTACACATCTCTGACCTCAGCAAGAAGTGCAGCAGCATGCGGGGTGTCGAAAACCGACTTACTCGAATGTCTCCTCGATTGCTACTGTCTTCTGGAAGCGTGGAGCAAAGCGAAAGCAATCATGAAAGATAAGCTACTCATCACTGAACGCCAATTAGGCAAGAAAGATGAGCTCTATCTACGAGATACTCTGAGGCTAGCCGAGCTCATGATGAAGAACGGCGAATACGTCGAGGCGCACCTCCAGGCACGGCGATCACTGAGAGGATTCAGGAAACTGGGAAAACAGGGAGATAGTGGTTACGAAGAATGCTTGGACTTTTTGATTCGAATCTGTAGCACTGAGGGAAAAGTGGATGAGGAAGAGGCTTACACAGCTTTGTTGGCAAGCCACGAGAGGAAGACCAAGCGATCAGCTCCATCGCCTGAGGTTATATCGCTGTCGCACGTTAGCCCAAAGTTTCAGTCAGCTTCCGACCCGGTCTTAGAGGATGTCGCTCAAGCAGATTTCGAAGTTTCAGAGCAAGTGAAGGAGACGCTGGATCATGTGCATGTCTTGGAGAGTAATGAGGTGCCACTGATAGACACAGAGGATTCGAGTGTGCTTTCACCTGGTGAACTCCAAGTTCAGGATCAGACCGTGCTGCAAGAGGACCCAGAGCCTGTTACCGAAAGAGACAAGATTACATCAGAACAACAGCCCTCGTGTATCTCCAGACCTTACTCACCTACGGAGGATCTAAGCGTTCGTCCGGATTACGAGACGAAATCCCTGTCCAGTCACAGTGTTACATCGTCGGAACAACACGCTATGACTTTGGCGTCACAAGAACAAGTATGTATGTTGCACAAGCCGTCTGATACATGCGGGCTAAGTGTCGTTCCGGAGTTACCAGCTATGCTGACCCCAGTGGACTTTGGAGATATTTCACATCTCGAGGGTTACGGGGCTCAAATCGCAGCTGCTGAGTTCATTTGTATGCTATACCGAGCTGCAGCAAACGAAGTGACAGAGAAAGAGTCGAGGAACTCAAGAAAGGATGCTGAGTTCCTAAAAGCATGGTGTAATCTGTTCCACGGCCGAGATCCTTACTACTTCTCTGAATGGCATGTTGAGGGTTATTACTGCATGATCAAGATCAATGATACGCACGGCTGTACGGTTTCGGGCCACGAGACCGAACAAAAGGCAAAAGAAGCTGCTGCCGCTAAAGTGTGTGAGATGTATATCTCTCACGCCGACGAAGTACTTACGCTGGACAAAATGACGCGACGCGATCCTGGCTCTGACAAAGAAGTTTTTATCCCGCAAAATGACCACGACATTGAAATACTTATGGGATGGGGAGAGGAAATGGATGCTTCATTCTATTCCCCGGTTACAGATACGAACATACCTCATATTACCATATCAGCAGAAACAGACGAACTTCCTACTGGTAATGGCGAGGCGGCGACACCTACCTCCGAGAAGTCAATAAATCCATCGAAGGTGCGGCGCAGTGCATCTGATTCCAAAATATCTTCCAACCAAGTGGCAGGACAAGGGTTTGTCGAGAAGTTTCTAACAAGGTCGTACGCCGCATTAAGAGGCACGAGAACACATCACAGCGCTGTCGCAAGCGTCTCGACGATTCCATCAAACGATAAGGAACCCCAATGGACTCCTGGTGATACTCATCTCTCGACTTCTGCAGAGGTATGTTTATATTGCGATAAGGATCTATCTGAACTCCCCTTTCCTTCGCAACGTAGACACAGAGACGGTGCATGTACACTGCATACTTCGAGAAGAAGTGTCTCGAACCCCATCAATGTCAGTTCTTCTTCAGACTTATCTAGAGACGATACCTCAACCCGTCTCATCAGTAACATCGACGCGACCACTTTTCCATCTCAATCCTCACAGTTCCAATACGTCGGGCAGGAGACGATTACAACAGTGTCTCCTTCGGCAGTTCAGCCTTCCTCCTTGGGCAACTCTACCACACCGGAAGGCACATGGGCGTGTAATGAATGCAAATCAGACCTTCTTCAGTACATGAGTGAAGGTCGGTGTCGCTCATGTTTTGCCAACAGAAACGATTATTCTCCCAGCTCGACCAACGATTTTGCGCGTCTACCATATGATCGCCACCAGAAACCGTTGAATTTCCTGAACTTGAACGCACCAAAAGGTGCAATAACACGACGGAAGGTGATACTACTAGGAGATACATTATGTGGTAAAACATTCCTCGCAAGTGCATGGAGTCAAGGGGATGTTCCAGAAGAAGACACACCTGTGATGAACCACTTCATCAGATCGACAAAGATTAGGGATCGTCAAATCGAGCTTGTCATCTGGGATAACACCGGTAGAGAGGGTTACGAGATGATGCGCCGCCTTTCATACGAGGATGCGCACATAGTATTGATTTGCTTCGACATCAGTGATCCAGATTCGTTTGAAAACATTGACTATATGGTATGTTCAGATAAGCGCCAAAAGTATGAGTACATTGGGACTGACGATACTAGTGGAGCGTTGAAGCGAACGAATACCTCCGCGATCTACCCAAGATACTCGTTGGGTGCAAGAAAGATCTCCGGAATGACAACGCGAAGCTCGACAGCCTACGCCGTCAGCACTTCATACCGATATCTCCATATGCCGTAAGTCTGGATCGGTAGGATATACGTCGCATACTAACCCTGGATGCAGGCTGACCGGCTTGCAATAAAAATACAAGCCCTAGCGTACTTTGAAACATCGGCCATCAAGAAGCAAGGCCTCTCAGAGCTCTTCGACTACGTAGCTGAGGCTGCCTTGAGAACGGTTCCAAAGTCCAAGACGAGTGGTATAAGAAAGGCTCTCTCGAGGGGAATATAGGCTTAGTACTTCGAGCTAGGATGGTGCCGAAAGTACTCTTGTGACCTATCCTCACCAGTTACTGTGTACTATGAAGAGCCATAGGAGCACGATTAGTGCTACAAAGTGTCGGGATGATTAGATAGCGACATCGTCATCATATCAGCATTATTTGCGTTCAAACACAGACATATCTTCCGAGGAACAATCTCGTGCGCACGGCTTGGCCCTTGGGAGATGTTTCACAAACTGACTTGGTTCTGCAACACCTTGAACCTACCGGAGATGCCAAAGTACTAAACGATTTTATGGCCTAGCGAACAGGTTAAGCACAACAAGGAGTATAAACTTCAGCCACATGCTACGTGAAGCGACAGACGAGCTCACCAGGGATGACTTGGCCGGCACTTTACGTTTAGGGATCGTTAAGCTATGCATTCACCTGAATTGTCTAGCAGCTCTCACAATTGCATCACCTGATACTCGTTTGCTTATGGCGATGATTCAATGAAGCCTCTGTAGAGTTAAGTTGGGTTGGAGGTGGATGTCAATTTGCCTTCGTGTTAATGGATGAGTATCACCGTGGGGCTGACAGCATTTGCGGGGTAGCATACGTACCTGCCTTGGTAGATAGCGATCCCGAACTATGCCGTCAAACGTACAACAACCCTGCAACCTTACAAGTGTTCTTGAAAATCCCAAATTTAGTGCAAGGAAGATGCGGAAGTTCGAACATCAACCTGACAAGGGCGGCCCGAAAGGAAGCGCAAAGGCTAGAATACAGCTGCCGATAGCGCAACCAGCTGCTAAACCGGCGACAAATGGGTCTTCAGACTCACCAAACATCACCTCGTCAAGTACAGATCCTTACAAAGCAGCTCGCGAAGCTCTCGATCGCGATGGCTTCGTCGTTCTATCTGCCTCGCTATTTCCGTCTTTTGATCTTGACGCCCTTCGCGCCGCTGCCTCACGCATGACAGAAGCAGCACGATCTGGAAAGTGGCCGTATATACGTACGCTACCGAAGCAGTTTCCACCATGGCCACAGGACCCCTCAAGTGGGATCTGGTAAGTATCCCATCCTAACTGTATTTGAGACATACATTGACTTTGTATGTCGCACTTAGGGGCGTCCAGCATCTACTCCACCCATCGAATTCAGATCATCTTACGTTCGCAAAGTCGTATTTCGACAGCGAGCTGCTGAAATACGTCGGAGCACTAATTGGTTGTGGAGAAGACGACCTGACCATGGAGCTGTACAACATGCTCGTCCGGCCGGATAAAGATTTCAGTCTGCGGTGGCATAGAGACGACATCGCAGCGACAGCAACATCAGAAGAAGAGCTGGAACGACTGCAAAAGCCAGGACATCACGCACAGTGGAACCTTGCACTGTATGATGACAGCAGTCTGGTCCTTGTGCCTGGCTCGCACAAACGTGCACGCACTGACACAGAGAGGAACGCGGATCCGTACGAAGCACATATGCCCGACCAGCTTACTGTGCATCTGAAAGCGGGGGAAGTTGCATTCTACAATAACAACATTCTCCATCGCGGCGTATACGACAGCACGAAAGAGAGGATGACGCTGCATGGCAGTATCGGGACAACGCTGGCTGGGAGCGAACGAGCGAGAAACGTGCTACAGCACGGTGTTGGTGACTGGGCGAAGGAATACAACTTTGACGATTTTGAGCCTGAGATGGCCGCAAGAGCGAAGAAGATGAGAGAGAAGCTTGTAGAGATGGGCAAGGAAAGTGGGGATGTTGGCTTCTTCTCGAAGGATGAGTGAGCTTGTCATAAGAAAAGTGCATGTGACAGGGGGCTCTGAATGGTGTTAAGAACGTCATCGACTGAGCCTGTTATTGAGCGTATGCTCTGGAGGAGTACCTATCCTGCATCTCTCTTGATGTTCCAAAGCGAATGTAGCCGATACTGTCGACGGAAATCTTAGCATGGCTTCGTAATGGAGAAGAGGTCGTATAGTAAACTCAGTTTGGTGACAGAGTAAAAGACCTCTTGTAGCAATAGACGCAGACTCAAGTGCGTTGCAGAAGACACCATACCGACATGCTCGACATTACTAAGTTGTATTAAAAACAACATGTGGGCTTGAACACGACGAACCATCGCGCCACTTCGAGAGCCTCGATGTATTCAGCAAGGTTGTCGCTTAGAGAGGGGTAGCTTAGTACTACATATCAGTAGTGTTCCAGACCCACAGCCCAGTCAAACCCTTCACCACCCCTGAACAACTCCCCACTCTGCTTTGAACAGTCCAGGTTTTGCTCACGGACGTCTGGTCTCTATGTTACGATGAGAATATAAAGACTCCAGCCGGCCTGATTTCCATCAAACAACCACTCCTAGTTGTTCAGATCTCCAACATCAGCATCGGTGGTTTAGTGGTAAAATTAGCCGTTGCCATCCATCACAGGACAGTTTCGGCTAGCCCCGGGTTCGATTCCCGGCCGATGCATTTTTGCTGTTGCACAGGCCGTCGTGAGTGTCGCGATTGTCGTGGTGGTGGTGTTGATTGAGAAATTTGTCTTTTTGCAAAGACCCGCGGACGTCACGTGTCGGTGGGGCTCAGTCAACGCCAATCGCTGTTTGACGACGCGCCAAAAACTTCTAACAGCGGGGTATGCTGCAGGCGCTCGTCACTATGTTTCGACTTTTTTGTTCTCCAGTTTTGCGCTTAGTGGTCGGCTCCCAAGCTGGCACGGTGTCGAATGCGACTTTGTGAACTGACAATATATACAGTACATTTCGCTTCAGTCTTCTATACTTCCTAAAGAGGAGCCTTGGCGCAATGGTAGCGCGTTGGTTTTCGGTTGAAAACATAAACACCAAAGGTTGTGGGTGTAAGTTTCTCCATAAGGCCGATAGTTCGAGCATCCATACTAACATGATACAGTCGATCCCCATGGGCTTCGCTTGCTTTCTTTTTGCCTTTTTCTGCGCTTTTGCCGCTTCCTGGGACACGGAGATACATCTCAGACGTGTTTGATGCTCTGATTTGTTGTCGCCGTAACTGCTGTTCTTTTTGCAATCTCCACACCCATCACCAACGCCTCCTCTCTCGCGTTTGATGCAGAGTACGAGTCACGGTAATTGGGTATACATCTGACGAGCGGCTGTCCGCGATGCCAAGTAGGCTTTTGACGATCTCCTTCTGCTCCCGGTGGCTGAACGGGGGATGATGTACGGCAAGGAAATTGATCGCGAGACCGACGGCAATCGGCCTTCATGTTTCACACATATCCACCCGTCCCAGCGACCAGGTTGCCCTCTATTAAGACAATTAAGACAGGCAACCTGACGCACATAAACAAACCTGCGTCATTCTGAGTGAGATTAAGGTTCGGGAGATTGTGATACCCGTTCTTGTCGATCAGATAACCTTGGATCTGAAACCACGGTGAGCAAAGTGTGGATATACGATTCAACGGTCGATGCTCGCTGGCTCCTCAACGGTACAAGGCTGACGTGTCGCTCCGTGATGTTATACCAGCAAGATCAACAACGGTGAGATTTGACGCAATAGTCCGACGATCTTTGTGATTGACCAGACTTCTTTGCGTTTTGAGCTTCGCCAGAGCTGTACCTGCCTTGACTCGACTGCCCAAGAAGTAGTCACGATTGAAAAGCAATCTTCTGGTCACCACTAGGACTTGCACCAGCTTACTCACTCAAAAGCTAGTTCGATGCATGGAGTTGACGAGAACGATAACGCGAATGACAGTCCGATCGTAATGGTAACTTCGAGAGGTCTAGCCTCGCAAGTGTCAGCGCTATATACCGCCTTCTCTTCTTACCCAGTAAGTTGACACAAAGTAGGCAAGTACCATCTCCTAGCCAAGGAGTCCGTCAAGTTCTTCGTGCGTTGTGAGTGATGGAACACGCCGACATGCTCGTCTTGTGTAACAATGAGACTGAACGCTTGTGCGCAGGCAGGCACACGGTTGACTGCAGCAGGACAGAAGTTCCAGATCCGTGGCGCTCAGTTGCATGAACCTTCGAGATGCCGCAGACAGCGGCTGACGGCAATCGACGATTAGAGGAGAGATCCAAGCCACAAACACTGAGCCCAGGCACGCCCCGATTGGCTATAGCGGTTGTAGAGTCGCAGGCTGCGTCATTAGTACAGAGCTCTATCTTGTGTGACGTTGATCAGAGTAGCCACAAAAGCTTCGTCGCGCGGGCTTGGCCGGTCTAGACAGCAATTGGGCTTTTGTGGGGTGCCAGACGGGTAGGCTGACAGAATACATGATTGGTGGGTTGCTAGAATTTTCTCCCCGAAGAATCGTTGGGAATGCTTCAGGTAGATGGACGCGTGGAGGCAAGAGAAGCAAACTGGGGTCGCGTGTGACGAGACACGATTATATGTTCGTGGTTGCCGCGGATGGACAAAGACCAACTTTGGATTGCATCACAGCCATGGAAAGATCTGGACTGCGTGGAGATGTTGAATCTTACAATACCCCAGATATGCAGTGGAGCAATCCGGGAGCTGAGAGCTTCTGGACAACCCACCAACCGGCCAATCAGTCAACCAAGTCTTGTTATTGTTGGAAAGAGAGTCAGGTAATGTAGAGAACTTTTCGTCTCAATGCCGGAGTCGCGTCTCAGTACAGAGCCGATGAAAATGTGATCCAGAGGGACGGTTCCTTGCGATTACGTCCGCAATCCCGCCAGCTCGGAGAGCTAGCTTCAGTATGCGCGAAGTCAATTCTAAATGCGTTGTGCTAGAGTTTAGCGGCAAGCATCAGTAGCAAACGGTGCTCTCGGGGTTCACTGCCGAGGGACGCGAGGAGAAATAATGCACACAAGGACGTGATGGCGAGGACGCATGGTGGTGGTGATGGATGGTTCCCGAAGAAGCAGGAGATTTTCGTCGATTTCTCCACACGAGTCGTTGATTGGTCACCATGCCCAAAATAGAAGTTGCACTGATCGTGTCTCTCTGACGATCGCGTCATCCTGGCGAGAAAAGCGGGACGTTAAGAACATGGTGCAACACCGACAGCCAACCCGCCCTCCAACGCCAGAAGATACGAAGACGCGCACGACTGCTTTGTGTGCACAGACACGAGGACAATGGCAATGGGCAGGACTGCAATTGCGCAATTACAGGAAATGATGTTGTGCCTCTCCAATGCACATCAAACAGTTCTCATCTCGCTGAGCCGAGCATCCTCGTCCCGTTCCCCACGCCTTGGGAACATCGCAATCCGCGAATTTCATCACGGGATGCGATCCTGCACGAGTCTCGCGGAAGGCCCGACGTAGTGCCGCGGACCCTCTGAAATGGTGCCATGCATGTGCAAGCAGCAACGCCTGGCCTAGAGGACCTGGCATAGTCGTCCCGCCAAATAGCAAAGGGACGGGAGACTGGCGCGCAGAGGAGCGGGGTACAGACATGTCGGTGAAGCATCGAGACGGCGAGAGTTGGGCCATGGAGCATCGTTATCGCAGCCGGCCAACTAACTGATGTGCCCACCGCTACTCACCAACTGCTGCAAACGGCTGAGCCGCAGGTGCGCTGTGTGGGTCGCGCCCGGGTCGCGCAAGCGGATTGGCCGTGGAGCTCCCCTCGCAGGTGCGAATTCGTAAGTGTTTACCAGATCGCGTCGTATCTGCTCGGCCTAAACGCAACGCGTCGAAGCACACAACCCACGACAGGACAAATTGCACGCAGTTATCATAGGTCGGCCGTGGTTGTTTCGTGGGCGCTAGGATGCGCATCATGATGCGCGCCTGCCAGACCCTTTGCCGGCTCGGAATTGGCCCAGGCAGCCGTGACGTTGGCATCAACTTCTGCAGTGACCCGTTGCCATGCAGCGAGAAGCTTCCGAGAGGCAGGGTGGGAATGTCGCAGGATCAGCATGTGGTTAGAGGTGCAAATTGGCCGCCGCGATATTGTTCCCTATATCGGCTGCGCCCGAGCACTATATATGACCGGGGGAGCGGCCAGGGTCAAAGTGAAGCTGGCGAGGGTCGTGTTGACATGTTCTGTTCACAACGTCGCTGGTCGGGGGCGGATGAAGCTCAACGGGCCATCGGCTACCAAGATTTGCGTGAATACGATGGACAGATAAGCCGCGCCAGGGAAGTGGCCCTGAGTGAAGATGGAAGGCAGCGGCCACGAAGGCGCTGCAGACCTGCGACACGCTGGGCGGGCGCAGACAGACGGCCATGGCATAAAGACGCTGCTGCACCGTGGCGAGGCAGGGCAACGTGCAACGTGCTCGTTGTCTGGCGTGAGGAAGTTATTGAATCTCCTAGACCTAGCCGCGCCCGTCCGTGCGTGCTCCAGAGGCTAGTGCGGCCCCTTTGCCTGACAACCTCAACTCTTCACCGCGACGGCCAAACTTACTCTCCCTCTATTATTTCCTTTTCTGCTTGCTTGTTGAATCGCACGTCGTTCTTAGCAGCAGAAGACCGACTCACGCAGACCGACCAATGCAGGCTTGAACAACTGCTCGGGAGGCTTGGTACACGCTGCCATCTCCGTCGATTCACGACAGCCTTCCCAGCGCTTGACGACGTTACATTCTATTCTCTGTTTTAATACCTTCTCTGTTTTGTTTCATAGCAGGTACATATCCCCTAGATGCCCGTCACCACGACATGAGCCCGGCGACAAGTCTCGAGCCTCCCCAATGCCGCACCCCAAGAGGCCACACCCTCGTCTCCCGCCTTCCGTCCGCGACTCTGCTCACAGTGCCCATCGCTCCATGACCCGCATCCACACCCGCCCCCGTAGAGCCACCCTGCTAATCCTGTGACGCTCCACAGATCTTTACTTGCCTACCTCAGTCGCCGCTGCCGCTACCGCCGCCGACGAGCCCTCGCCCACCCCCCGTCGAGCTCCTGATAGCGCTACCTCGCAGGCCTCCGATGGCTCAGGTACTTACATCAGTCATCCAGACGACAGGACCGATTACAATGCCATACTCGCCGTCCGATGCCTACAAAAACACGCCCAACCACCCCAACCAGCAACAACAGCGGGCCTCGCAGATGCCGCGCAACCAACAAAATGGAAATTCGGGAGGCACAGGATACAGAGGGACGGCCGCACCCATAGCCCCGTATGCCTTCAACAGCACGCCTCAGCTGCGCCAGGAGAACAAGCCCGTCTCTGCACCAGCCCCTCAGGCCCAGCAGCAACCTCCCAGCCACGCCAGCCAGGCCCGACTCGGCCACCCCTCTCATCCCTCGTCATCCTCCGACTCCACAGTCTCCACATCGGGCTCATCCAACCGCTCGTCGGCTGGACCACCTGCAGGTGCCAGAGATGAACGTGAAGTCAGGAAACCCTACGACACCGTTGCGCCAACCATCACACTATCCACCTCCATACCCGATCTTTCGCTTTCGATAGGCGAATCATCGCCTGTGAAGCCCTCTCCAGGGCGATATCGACGCGGCGCTGGACGGACAGACTCGTCCAACAGCATCCCCACGGGTGCCACTACTCCGACACAGCGCTCTACATCTGGAGGAAACTCCCACATGGGGCCATCGCAGCCCACGCAGAACGAAGGCACAGGTGCTGTTAGCTTCCCACCGCCGTTCAGGCCCGGGCACAACCGAGCGAACAGTGCAGATGATACGCAAGTTATTCGCTCAAGCGGTATAGACCCCGCTAAGCGATACAGAAGACGCAGTTTCAACGGACTCGAAGGAGACAGCACCGCTGCCTCTAACATTGCAACACTGCAGGCCAGCTCTGGAACCGGCCAAAGCACAACACTGAGCGCAAACACCACAAACACCTCCAACTCAAATCGTACAGGAAGCCGTCCCGCCTCGAGTCATAGCCATGAGAGACAGGGCAGTGCGGGTAGTGCTTCCTCCAACAACTCCTCGAGATCGCAGGTAAGTGTAGCGAATCGCTGGACACGCGCAAGCTAACACCCTTTTTAGTCTCGCCCCGCAGTAAACACACAACGTAGCTATGCATCTGTAGCAGGAGGTAGCTCTTCCAAAGCACCCGAGCCTAACAGACGGCAAGCTCCATCTCCTCTATCACATCCCGTGTCTCCATCAGAGCCTGCGAGCCCTGCCAAGGCAGCCGCGTTACCTAGCACAGCCATGCAACACCTTAGCGCTGTCAACGACAAGGACAAGGGAATGAAGTCCCGTCTACGCAGGGCCTTCTCTTTTGGAAGCGCTGCTGAGCTGCGAAAGGCCTCTGCTGAGAATAGCATCTCAGCGGAGCGTGCGAGGTTGAGGAAAGACAAATACCAGAACGATGAGGATGCTGAACAGGCTGCCATCATCGCAAAGCAAGAGGCGGCAGGTATTGGCGCTGGTATCTACTCAGGTCAGGGTGGTATAGGCTCTACCGACAATCTGTCTATACAGTCGGCTGCATCGTCAGCCTCGGTTATGCTCCGGAAGATGGGCCATGGAATGAAGAAGGGCACTAAATCTATCAAGGGTTTATTCAGGCCAAAATCTGTCATCGGCGTACCCGCTGCCGATGGCCCCATTACCAGGCCCAGCGTGGGTCAGGTGTCTTTAGTCACCGTCGAAGCCGAGAGACAAAAGGTTAATGTCAACGCAAAACCCAATGAACAAACTGGAGGTGGCACTGGCTATCCCAGACTGGAGCGCAACTCCATCGATGCCGGTCGATCTGCAGAGATTGTAAACCCCTCTGTCCTGGGCGGCGAAGCTGTGTCTAGGAAAAGCATCGTCGGAAATGACCGCGATCGTGCTGAGGTTCTCTCTTCTATGAAGAAGGGTATCTTGAAACGTATGTTGCATACACTCGCGCTCAATATAGTCACTAACGAGACGTCAGGCACTGGCACAAACTCAGATTCTGGATCTCCTGTTCTCAAACCTGTAGACATGGGTCCTAACGTAGGCTCATCGCGATCCAGTTCTCCTGCCACGCCCAAGACAGAAGTTGGGCAAGCCCGGAACGATGATTACTTCGGCAAACCACCACGCATCCCCAATGGCAGCACGAGGAGTCTTCCAACCACACCCCATGGTGGCCTCCGAAACATCAGTTTCAGCCCACGCATACAATTCCACGACGCCTGGTCACCGCAGGATTATGATCGTAGGGGCGACATCGCAACGTGTAATAGGCTTACACCGATGCTTGCGCAACAGATCAAGGAGGAACTTAACTCCTTTAAGATGGTACGTATCTCAGCAACCGCATCGTCAAGCGAACAAAAACTAATCACACAAGCAGGAGATGGAAGTTCACGAGCTCTCGAAACCACACACCCATTTCTTCTAATGATTATGCATCCATCATTTGGACATGGCGTCTTGGCGAATACCTCTCATCGTTGCACTTGCGGATTGGAGCCATCAGCATTTACCAGTTGTCAGCTCTGTTTCATGTTCTGGTTACTACGGACTTGTTCTTCCATCTTAGCGAGCATTTGCAGTCACGTAGAGGAAGAACGCTTTGCTTGCGTGCGTGGGCGCAGCAAGCGAAGTAGTCGTTGGCATTGAACCGCAAAAAAGACGGAGGGAGATCTTTCTAGTTGAAGCCAGCTTTTTCCTTGCCTCCATTGTCTTTGTCCGTGGTTCAGTCGTATGTTGACGTCCTTTTCCTTTACCGTCAGAGGTGTCTTTGTCTCTCATTACTTTCCTTGTGTCAGTATTAGTCATGGTTGAGTGGTCTCTGCGTTGTCTACACAGTAGAGGAATCAGTATGCAAAAAGGAGAGTTGGACATACTTGGCTGGCGCAAGAGTCCCTGCTAGTGGCTTGTGCCGATTAGCTTGTAATTGGAAAACAATATTCGGCGTATTTCTGCTCTATGTCGACGTGGAGTAACATGTCCCGTGTGATCCCTCAACATCCTCTTGGCTAACAAGGCATTCGCCATCCGAGTGGGACAAGTATTGATCTACGCTGCACTGTACTAATGCATGTTTACCATCGACCAACCGCGTCCTAAATTTGGTACACACAATTCCCCGAATCTCGTATCCTGCCCTGCAGCGTCGCATTGATGGTCAGACCCGCCCGTGTTCATGTCACTTCTGGTAGTTGTCAACGACAATCTCCGAAGCCCCCCAGCAGTTCACAACACAAACATCATCTATTCCATCCGCCAACACCACCTTGATGGTTATCAATGCGGCTTCACGAGCATGCCGCGGTCCACCATACCACACTTTCCTGTTCCAGCATGTCATTCCGATCATATATGCATGGCTGCACTTGTTGGCGGTTTAGGCGCTAATCCTCCGATTCATTGCAACTATCGTTTTGGGATCATGTCCGCAACCTAAAGCGGTCGAATGATCCCGCCCCTCGTCGAGTGCAGCGTGTGGTGTTCGGCAAAGTTTCACGGGTGCTGTGGGAATTAGTGATGTGGGTGCAAGTGTATTGATATGTGTTGAGGGCGGGTAATTATACATTTATCGTACTTAGAATGCTAGAAGGGTGCTGTATGTGGTCACTATTACATTTGATCTGAACCTTGTTAGACGACGTACTATATAAGATAGCGCACATAATTTGACGGCTTGTAACATGCGCGTCATAAGATCCTCTCAAGGCCGGGACCTACCTCGAGCACATGTCACGTGAGATCAGGCTCGCTTGAGGAGCTGGTTAGCGCGTCTTGGCAAGGCCACAGCGTCTCCGCAGCTGAACACCCCAATTTCGTCGTTCGACAGTCAGTCCTCAGCAACCACACACAACCGACAAAATGGTACGTCTTCTGCGCAGTCAGGTCTCCGGACCAGAAAGAGACTGGAGCTGATTGTATACAGGCACCTGCAGCAACTGGAGGCAAGAAGCAGAAGAAGAAGTGGTCCAAGGGCAAGGGTACGTGATACAGCACTGCACACCATCAGCACATCTACACGCATCGCAAACACTTCGGAAACGCTCGAAAGCATCATCATAGACGTCCGCAATCTCGCTCTACTATCGCGCACTCTCACAACGCTCCGGGGAAGAATCGCCACTAACAGCCGTACAGTCAAGGACAAGGCCCAGCACGCCGTCGTTCTCGACAAGCAGACCAACGACAAGCTCCAGAAGGATGTCCAGTCCTACCGCCTCATCACCGTCGCTACCCTCGTCGATCGCTTGAAGATCAACGGCTCGCTCGCACGCAAGGCGCTTGCCGACCTCGAGGCCAACGGTCAGATCAAGAAGGTTGTCGGACACTCAAAGCTCAGCATCTACAGTATGTAACCGCAACAACGCCCACAAAGCCACAATTTCTACCGGAATTGGAGACAGTGGGAAGTGAATGTAGGCTCTTACTAACATATTGCAGCACGAGCTATCGGCGCCGAGGAGTAAGCTTTACGTAGCCGACAATTAAACGAACGTAAATGCGAATCTCGGACACTTCTTTCAGTTTCTCTACGGCATTCCTCTTTCCATTACCCATCGGCGTCTTCATGAAATGAACGGGTCATACTATATTGGGATGCATGCTTCATAGCGGATATGAAATGAGAGGAACGGGCTCGGGTACAGTACCTAGAGTCCATTGGAGGTGTCGGTTATGTACTGAATGAAAAGACTTCCGAAACACCACCACTGAACTTGACCTCGACGTTATGATTGTAGCTATGCGTGAACAAATTGACTGGACTGATTTGTCTCATGCCCATTCTCCTCAAAAACACTCGTCGCTTTTGTGTGCATACTTGTGGAGACCATAGCATTATTTCGTTCGATCGTCATTATCCATTGCCATGCTTGTCGCTGACAGCGAGTGTTATGGATGAGGTAGCAGCTCGCCGATGTGCTTTTGTCTTCTGAGCTTAGTATAGTTTGGTCAGGTCTTTTCAAAGCTGCTCATCATATCGGAACTATGTCTTTAGACTTGTTTTAAAATTTAGATGCTACTGCCAGGTATCATAAGATGAAGCTCTCTTTTCTAAGTTGTCCAGCCTACTGCAACAACACTTCTTGGAAGTATACGCTATCTCTCATGCGATCGATCACCAATATAGAATGCAATAAGTAACCTTTGAGTGCAGCCGATGTAGGCAAGATTTAGGAGCAACATGCTCCTTTATAGAAAGGAAAACCTTACGATATCCGCAAGTGATGGTGGGTGGAGAGCTAAGAATGCAGCAGCCACTAATCGACACATCTGAATATTATATGGTGCAGTGTGCTGGAGAGACGCAACTGTACATGCAAGAAGAGAGTCATCCTAAAATTCAGACTTGATTTGATTGCACCAAAATAGCAACTACTTAGTCGTACTTCCTGACCGGCCTACCCTTCTCCGCCTGTTCACAGAGTCCTCTCTTGGGCATCTTGCTCTCCCAGCCCGGTTCCCTCTTGACATGGCCCACACGCCGATACGGCTTGCCCTTGTCACCCCGGAACAACATATGCCAACCCTCCAGACCAGCGACCATTTGTTTCCTAGCACTCTTGAGCTCCTGCGCATGTCTATTCTTTAGCTCACCCTTGGTCAATGGCTTCCTCTTCCTCGCCTTCTCCATCTCAATCTCGCGTTCTTGTGGTGTCAGGCTGACCTTTTCCTCTGGGTCAATGGGAATGAACATTTGCTCTACGCCGCGTAGATCAGGGACGCTGTCTTCGGCGAAACAGCCGGTCAGGAAGGCGCGCGCGGCGTCTTTGCCTGCGAAGAAATGGTAGGAGCCGCCTGGCCCGTACGTGGTAGGCGAGATGGAGACGTCGTAGATTGTGCCGTTTAGCGCAAGGTAGATTGGTTTAGAGGGATCGGCGCCGTTGTATAGGGCAAGTTCGGAGTCGGTTAGGATGACTTCTCCTTGCTAGAAGATAGGCACGTTAGCTATGAGAGGTTTGCTAGTGGAGGACGATAACAGGCACGTACCATGAGGCTCTTCCACTCTCGAGCTCGAGTCCACCATGGGTTGTATCCCCATGTCATACTCTCTCCGCTTGTACTCAGGTAGCTCAGACCACAGCTCAGTAGGAGCACGCCACCCAGGATACGCAATACATCGAGCATTGATACGCCATTTGATGTTGCGACAGCTTGTTCTTTGACAGCTTGCTTAAGCTCCGCTTTCTCTTTCGCGCCTGTGGCGGTTGGTGGAATCGAGGATGTAGTCGTGTCTGTAGGCTCGTCTTTCGCAGGACGACGGTACCGCTGGGATGAGGACATTGTGGTGATCGTGTGCTCGCTTTTGCTACCTGAATCGTGTTGTCAGTCTCTACACACGTGTGCATGTATCGATCGCAGTTGCGCAGAGGTCCTCCTACCTGTTCATCCAGCACCCATGCAGCTCAAATTATGGTACTTGCACACGAATGCCGAGGCAAGATACCTCGCTCAAAGGTAACTAGCTATAGAATCAAGTGTTCGGAGACGTGTCCGTAAGCCAGGTACCGTCGGATGCGCAATGCGGAGAATAGATTGCTTTCGCGTTCCGAGGCGTTACTCTCGGGAAGTACCACGCATCTCGGTTCCGATGATTGGCCGCCATCCGATTGATGTCATTGACGATCACGCGCCAGCACTACCGGACTAGACCTTCACTATTGAATGAGATCGACATGCGTGCACTCTGAGTAACATAAATTATGGAATTGATACGCGTATTTCTATAGCTGCTGTGTATCATATCTCCTAGACGAAACTATCGTTGGTATATCAATACAAGCCATTCCTTCCGCATTCGTACACACCGTTCGTCTTTCCGCCCATCTTTTCTTGTTCAGATGTTAAATTCGCATAACTCAGGTACTGCGACATTGTTCATTACGAATTCCATAAGGAGGGTGAAAGAACTGCTCGATGGTGTTCCGTCAGATTGACCAGAACCACACAAACGACTCACTCCGCGCCGTCGTGGATGTCGCGTATCTCGACTTGCGCCTCTCTGTCACTCTTGGGAAAGACCTGCTTAAGACCTGCTTGGAAGACGCCGACGTTGTAGTCGATGATAGCCTTCTTCTCTGCTGGGTTGTCCTGGCCCATGATGCATACCAAGGCGAGATATCTGTGTCTATCGTCAGTACAACTACGGTATCTTACCGTAACGGCGGTCTGACTTACTTGTTGATCTCCCGCAAGTAGAGGTATCTGCTATTCTTTTTCTCCATCGTGATCAGGCTTTCAGCATCGTTGTTCCCCGTCTCACTTTCATCCTCACCTTCATCGGGTCGATCCCAGCCATAGATTTCACTGACATCGATGACCACATCGATGTAATCGGAACATATCTCGTAGCTGCCGATGTCGGTAGGACTAGTATCTGTTGCAATGTAGATCTTGCTCATGATGTCGAAGAGGTAGGCCTTCTCAATGTTACATGCACCACACAGGTTGTTGAGCAGTGCTTCGAGCGTGGGAAGCTGTGGGATGAGCTTTTGGATCACCTTGCTGAAAGCTTCGAAGATGGAGTGGTCGTAGATGGATGTTTGGTAGAAGGATATAGGGGCCTGCTCGTAGCCGTGGTCCGAGAGTTCGTCTTGCACTCGTTGAATGATATCCCGGAAAGTATCTCCACGGAAGTCGTCCGATAGGCCATCAACCTTGTGCACAAAGACCTCAACGTTGATGTTGGGATATGATTGTTGTAGGTTAAGGATTGTCATGTTCAGTCGTGCAATCGCATCGAGGTATTCATCTTGAGCGTCAATAACCCATATCAAAGCACCGATTTCCTCGAAGATGTTGTCCGTATCGAAAGCTGGGTCGAAATAGTCTAGGTGACCTGGCAGATCCCATACTTGAAAGTCCATGAACGAGCTGGTGTAGTTGATCAGCACACGAGTGTACACGCCGCATGAAGGACATACTGCATTGATTCTTTCTTTATCCTGTAAGTTGTCTCGAGATACAGCGTCTCGCTTGGTGGTAGCTTGTGAAAGACAACACTTGATATCGAAGACTTGCCACTCCTATGATTATGTGGTTAGCGATGCATGGATGCTGGTCTCGTCTGATGTTACCTTCTCTGCCCCATGAGTAGCAATCGTGGCTTGCCATCTCCGGCCTTGCTATTCGGGACACGGCCAGTGTGGTACTGCGGCGCAAAGTCAACAGGCGGTTCCTCGGCGTTTGGTAGGTCCTGCAGAAAACGATCCATGGTCAATTGAGCACTTGGTTTGAGTAAGGACGAGCTGGTGGAAGTTCGCCTCGCCTCTGCGTCACCATATCGAATAATATCGCGAGCAACATCAATGGTTGCTGAAGGCCGCCTTGAAATGAAACGGCTCTCCATGGTGAAGGGTAGTGGTACAGGGTATATCGCTAAGAGCAGAAGTCGCAAAACTAAGAGAAAATTGGGTATCGTGGGTTGAAGAAAGCGCCGCGCCGAGACAAAACAGAAAACAGAAAGCCGGCCCTTCCTATTTCACTTCACCTGACCGGCATCTGCGCAGTGAAGCGTGGTACTCTCGTGGGGAGATGACAGGCACGCTGCGACGACGTGTGGTACAACACCAGCAGGGAGAGGCCACGAGGACGGGCGGTACATGATAAGGGGAGCTGGCGAAGAAGTGACGGGTCAATCAGGAGCCCCCGAGATGTTCTACAAGAGCAGACGGTGATACGCGCAAGGCAGTCGACACCGAGCGGAAGGCACCAAGGGGAGCTCAGGCCATGGTGCAGACGTACATAGGGCTGAGGAAGTCGCAACGCAACCCGCGGCCTCGCAAGAAACCTAACCGGAAGGGGAAGACGACGATACACGTGGGGAAAGCAAAGGAGTAAAAGAAGGAATCTGGGCTTACCTCCATGGTTGTTCAGTGGTAGTGTAGCGTCTTTGCGTTGCGCACGGTGGTGATAGTCTTTAGGCCCGAGCCTGCCACTGCCCCAGAACCGCTGTCCTTGCTAATGAGCCGACGCCCAACTCAACCCACCACTTCAGCCAGACACTCGGGATTACTATGTCTCTTCCAAGAACACTTGCATCACCCTCTGCCAGGGTCCCCGTCCTGCTGATTCTCTCTTCGCAAACGTCCTTTGTTGATAACCAGAAGCCGAAGAAGCCGGGTCGGCAAGGATGACAGTCCGCGGGCGCCCAGTCGTCGGGCACCAGAGCGTCACTGCAACACGAATCGAGGCCGGGTCGGAGATAAGTCAGTGCTGCTAATAGATAGCTGTAGTAGTACGATGCTGAAGCATCTGGGAACGTCGTAGAAGACGGATAGTGTCATCGCAAGGAGACGGTTGGTCGCGTGCAGTCTACGTTCGCTTAACACAGGAAGATCTTCAGGCACCATCACATCCTCGTTCTCAGCTTTCCAACACCAGCCCAACTACGATAAAGAGTGAATGCCCTTGTAGTCCGTGGCTTGGAGTAATTGCCCCATTCGTGTTATGCAAAATCAAACTCTGTCAGCCCAACCCTACTCGAGTCAACGCTAACGATATTACCGCATGGCAGGCAAGGATGCGTTTTCGCGGATAGCTATCCGCAGCAGCAAGGTTACACGACGTTCCAGGAACGCTCCCCAGCGTCATTGATACCAGCGTCACATCCCCTTTAGCATCTGATGAAGCAGATAGATATGTACGAGTAATCTCAACGAGACATCAATATACGTGTGGTCCTAAACTTGCTCATCAACTCATGTATTGTGCACGACGCTTCTCGCTATGTTCGTACATCATTAGAATACCAAAAGCAATATCAAAAACTACCCGACGCTCCGGCCCTAAGTGTTGCTGGGCGAAGTGCATGTGAGACATGCTGACTTCATACACCCACACCTAAAATCCAACCTGGGAATACGAACGCAAAGATCCAAAGCCATTATTTCCGTTCTCCACATCTCCGTACACCAGAAGCCCGTAGGTCTACCTGAATATGATCTTCATTCCAACAAGTAAAATGGCATCCCTCATTTCCGGTCGGATGATACCAAGTACGTCGACTATTTCAGTCCCGCGGGCCTGTCACCTCGGCACCTAGAGTGCCCGCAGCTAACTGACCCAGTCCGCCGAAGAAGGCAAGAAACAGGGCTAGTGCAGTTGACTCGCCAGCGTGAACCAGATCCCCCTCAGGCGCAGAGCCGTCCGATTCCATTTCCTGCACCGCTCGCTTGGTCTTCTCGGATGGTTGGTAGGTAGCATCAGGATCACCAGCGAACGAGCCTGCGTCTGAATCCGCATCCGAGATACGCGCTTTCCCCCTTGTGCTGCGCCGCAGAGGTGCACCTGTCGGTCCTGAATGCGTTGCACTAGATGTACCGTTGACAGCCAAATTCTTAGCGGGATGTCCCGGTTTTCTCGGTGTTGTGGGTTCTACAGGCGACGATGGCTCGCTTGCGTGCTCCATAACTCTGGCCAGGTCTTGCTTGAAGCTAACATGTTTCTCGTGAGTCGGAACAAGGAAAGACAGTATGCTGCTTTCCAAGATAGCATGCACATCTAAGTCGCGGGTGAAGGTCCACGTCAGCAAGCTGATGGCTGCGAAGAGAACATCAAGGCTTGTGACACTGATAGCCGGGTGCATACTGATATGCTTTAGAGCCTGGCCAGCGTTGCTGATGCTGGTGAGAAGCCTGTTCGTATTTGCCGAATCGCTGTTGCCGATAGAGTTGGAGAAGAGATCCCAAACATGAGAGCGCTGGGCGGGTCTGTTGACATAGATCAGAGTGGTCCATACACGCCAGTATACGAGAATAGAGGCTATTGACAGCGCGTGGAAGACTTTGGCGTATGATCTATGAGCCGCTGCCTTGGACGTATGCTGGTGGCCCAGAGCGTAAGGGACCAGTTGCGGGGCAAAAGCAAAGGCCAAAGGCATGGTCAGATAACCCAGTCGCATCATGCTCTTGTCGCCGAACTCGGAAACCAGTTGGGGGAAGAGATTAAGCGTGATGAGCGACGCAACAATGCCGGTGTCGTATACGAAGGCATATGGGGTGAACAACGCATCGTGTAGTGGAGTATCATCGCGGTGTATAGTCAAAGGCGTGTACAGGATTGTGATGAAGAACAAGCTCAAGGCATACCCTAAACTCCCGATTGAGCTCAGTAGCACAAACGAGGCGATTGTCGTGTTGGAAAGATTGCGTCTGCGACCTTTAGAACAGAAGTCAGTGGAGGTACTTGGGGCTGCAATGACGGCGCTGACATACCCTCGGCGCCCATAAAGATGGAGCTTGCAATTAGTCCAACAAAATACTGGCTGGTATAGAGGAATCCTTCAGGCTTCATAATTCCGACCTTGTCGAATTCGCGCACCAGATCTATGTCGGCGATCCAGTCGGCCAGGTACCAGCGCCCTTCCGCTCCAGTGCCGTACCAGCCGCTCCACAGGCTGCCTGGAATGTCATGTTTATTCTCTCCAGCCCACCGAACGTACGAGATGGCGCGCCAGAGGAAGGCGAAGCTTCCTACCGAGAGCAGTGAGAGGAGCGCAATGATAGAGAAGGTAACGGCATGACGACGGCGAGCGGAGTCTTGTGAGCGCGTGCGTGTTGACGGCGGCTGCGATTTGGCGGCGCGTCGAGTAGTGAGAAGCACACGAGCTGTGAGTACCGTGACGAGGAGTACTTGGCCGCCGAAAAGGGCGATGGGGAGCGAGTTGCTGCGCGTGGATGCGACGGTGTCGACTGGCGCCATGGTGTTGGCTGGATGATGCGATCAAAGATAGGGATAGATGCGCATTACGCGACAGCAACGAAGGGGTTTGGTATAAGACGGAAGCAAGTCAGCCCAGCTGGAAGCATAGCTGGCTTGTTTTCATCTGGAACGCGCCTGCCTCCCCGCCGCCCACCTATGAACGTCACTGACGTAGTTCTGGAGCTTACCCTTGTTCCACGCTAGGCTCTTCCCGTATTGGCCGTCGATCTGGCGCATCTCCGTTTTGGCTTGCGCGACGCGAACTCGAGCCTCCAACACGATACCCGCTTTATCATGCCACATACCTATGGAGACGAAGACCTCGACAATGCCGACGACAAGTACCATGAATCGTCCGATGAAGACTTTAACCCCGACGCTGCCCCAGCTGAAGAGGCATCCAGCTCCGAAGACGAAGACCATGTCACTATAGAACCCACACAACGCAAGGGCAAGCGGAATGCACCGGCCGATCAAGACCTCGACTCTGGAGATGAGGTGACAATACAAGCTGCGCGGAAGAAGCGGGCGAAGAAGAAGGGCAAGAAAGGCAGCAACGAAGACGAGCTGATCATATCGGATGATGAAGGCGGGGAGGGTGGACTTATCAAAACTCGGGCCCAACGGAGAGTTGAGGGCAAGGAGAGGAGACCGCTTGCAAGAACCGAGGGCGCAACTGTTGATGTCGACGCGCTATGGGCTCAGATGACAGCAGCGCCTTTGAAGCCTCTGGAATCCACCAAACCGCAGGAAGCGGCCGCGCCACAGCATCATGCACCCGTAGTCAACATTCCAGTATCGGCGGAGGAAGAAGAACAGCTGACGATCAAGAAGATCTTCACATTCGCTGGGCAGGATACTACCGAGGAGAAGCAGATACCACGCTCGCAACTTGACAAATACCTCAAAGATGGTTGGAAGACACTCGATGCACCCGCTGCAACCACGCCTGCAGCAGAATCCCCTAAAGTTCCCTCCGAATCTACCGGACCCAAGCTCCGTCGTCCTGTCCGCCGCCCTTCACGATTCGATCCTAACCCTACAGGCTATGTCCGCGCTCTCGCACCTGAACATCAGCTCTCCTGGCCCCGTACATCCACCACCTTACAGCCCGATCAAGAACTCGTTCCGGAAGCCGACGTCCCGATCACGAAGAAGGCAGAGAAAGCGCAAAAGCTTAATGTTGTGGACAAATCGCGCATGGATTGGACAGGTTTTGTGGACAAGGAAGGCATCGCAGAGGAACTGGATACACATGGAAAGACCAAAGAAGCCTACTTGGGTCGTATGGAATTCTTGGCTGGTGTTGAGGCACGGAGAGAAGAGGAGAGGAGGAACTTGAAGATTAAGGCTGCGGCCGCTGCGCCCACGGCAGGCTGAGCTGTAGCGCTCGTAATGTTCTGGAGAGGTGTAGATGCTTTCTAATGATACCCACATGTCGCTTTACAGGGATGTGTTCTTTCCTGCTTCCCTGTCATGACTTCTTTTGCTCTGCGGCTACGTGTGCCTGCTGGAACGAGGCGATCGGACTCTTATTGGCACATGAAACTTCGCGTAATCATTGTATGGTTATCATTTCGTGCTGACAATTAATGGGAAGCGAAAGCGCAAATGGGTATACTGCAGCGCGGATACGACAGCAAGAAGCAAATATACAATGTCATGGTGCGTAGATACGACCACAGAAGATGAAGCCAAAGAACGAGATGGAACAGATCTCTACATATTCTCTCCAACCGTCCACGCTGTCAAATGTCTTGGAAGTTGCTACCGGATAGGCTCCTCGAGCGCGGCCTCAAAGTCGTCTTCCTCATCTTCCTCGTCGTGCTCAACTGGCGCCTTGATAGGTTTCGGCTTCATATTAGCACGGATGGATGATACTATAGCCCTGGAGTACTCAGAGCTATTTGCCTTTAGTCTCCCAAGCTCGCGTCCTGCCACAGTGAAAACGAACGTGGATTGTTCGGGCCGTTGAAACGTGTTGTACAGTACCGATGCTTTGATGGTATCCCACAGACATGCTCCAGGCGTAAGATACTCATCCATAAGAGGTCGAATATCGGGATGGCCTAAGAAATCGATGTACAAAGTCAGTGTACGTTTCACACACAATCCGTGTACGGGAGAGCTTACCAGGATCGTCAGGCCGTATAGCCTGGTACCGTTCGTAACAGGTGTTCACGAGAGTGTTGAAGTGGTCGTTTGTGCTCATATTACTGTGGACCCCAGCGTTCCAAGTATTTTTCACTTCTCTCAGTTTGCCAGTCAGAGACAAAAGTTCCTTCTCGATCGTCTTCGATCTGTTCTCACTAAGGTGCTTACTCGGATAAAGCAATGCCTCATCCAGTTGGGAAGCTTTCAAGAAGACGGATTTGAGCTGCACCATTGTCTCAATATTGTGCGCTCTTACAACATCGAAGTAGATGTAGTCAATTGCATGCTTGGAGTCGTATCGGTATGGCTTCTTCCGGGATTTCTCGACTTCTGTGGAGTCCTTGGTGTTGAAGCAATCCTCCATCGCGGCCTTGTAAACGGGCTGCTTTGGTTGTTTTGGTAGTCGGCGTACCCACCGATCGAAGTCCGCCTGTGTAAAAACATAGCCTTGTTTGGAAGCATCGACTAGCAAGTCGTGCATATCATACAGCTGCTCAAGCTTTGGTGAATATATGCGATTTTCGCTGTAGGCTTGCTTCTCTGCAATGGTGGTGACGAAACCAAGTAGAGAAGGATTATTGCGGAATTCGAATGCTTTACAGAGGAATTTATCCACTGTTTCCGGGTTGCCGGTATCCATGATATCCTTGAGCCTTTCACTTCGTGTTTTTATGCCATACTTTGCAGGATCAGGGGGCTGTACTGGCGCTGGCGCATTCAGAAATGGCTGCACAAGTGTGGTTTCCCAGCATATCCAGAACATATCACCATCGTAATCACCACCTTGAAGTTTTCCGGCTAGTGGGTAACGGCCTTTACACGGAAAGACCACTACATCTACTAAATGCGATAGTTCAGGGCGTATGGTTGTGCGCACTTTCTGGATGTCTGAGCGGCGACAAGCAGGCTGACGGGCGACTAAAGCTTCCATATCCCTAAGACAGAGGTACTTCTCGTCTGTCTTCTCGTCGACGAATGAGGATGAGAATTGCACCTGGATTTCTCCTGGCTCCAAAACCCCGAGAGGATCCGCTACACCATACAAAAAGGCCGATTTTGCAAGCGGTACCCGCAGCTTGGATTCCTGGAATATTTGCTTGGTCTGAATAAAGCGTTCGAGGCTTCTGGCAAGATACGGAAACCTGGTGGGTAAAAAGCCCGATTCTAGTAGAAACTTTAGCTTTTCCTCTAGAGATAATGGCAGTGCACCCTGCCAGGAAGGTTCAGTCCGGGTCTTTGCGCCGTTCTGGTGAACCCAATCGTACGTCTTGACAGGATCTGGAAGCAATTCTAGCAGCTTCTTGCGTTGCGTATCGAGGCACTCCCTCATGAGACCAGAAACAGCTTCTTTCTTTATGCCTCGATCAATCAAGATAGGAATGAACGATATATGGAGTTCCGATGGTGACGGCGCGGAACTGTAGTTGGACACCTCAAAAGTTCGGTGATGATGTGGCTGGTCGGCAGGTGGGTGAAATTTCTGTTGACTCTTGTTGATTTTGATCCAATATTCGAGATGCTGAGGATCCTTGGTGAATGACTCTGCACTGATCATCCAGAGTCCCTTAGCTCCACCAATACGTCCCTGAAACGCACTCGGTAAAGGACCAGAAACTCCAGTAGCTTTCTTGTATCGCTGCCATATGTCTAATGCGGCACCCACAGAGATGATTGAGCATCCGTCATTCATGACCGTATTGTTAGGAAATGGCTGCCAATGTAGTCTTGGATCGTCAAACCGTGTGTCTTCCGGGTCACTTGAAGCCAAATCATCATCCACGTGGATGATTTGCGATGTATCAAAGCATAATGTTGGAATGGTTCGAGAAAGCCCGAGTTCAATGCGAGCAAAGGCTTTGCAAAAACCCTGGTTCTCGTTGGTATCAAACGGTAGGAACTGATGAATCATCCGACCCACTGAACACGGTTGCTTAATGCCCCATCCTTCTGTCGCGAAGAGTACAATTCTTTTTTCGTGGACCGTATCCTTCCGGCGGGCGTTCTTACTCCTTTTCAAATCTTCAATGTGGAAGGCTCTCCATTTACGACCCAAGAAGGAATGTTCGGTAAGGAGCCATGCTTGCCATTGACTGCGAATTTGTTGCACCTGATCAGCGTTGTAGCGGGGCGTCTTGGAAGAATCAAATTTGGGTGTGTGCAGGTAGAGGAAGCGGTCTGAACCAAAGATTCGCTCAAATCGACACGATTTGTCTGCCTGTACCGGTAACAGCGTCGGATAGACAACGGGACCAGTGTCTTTTAGACTGAAAGTGATGTGCCCCTTAAATACGTAACCATCAAATTTGCGTTTCGCCGATGGCCAGAGGCGACTTGACTCACGCAGCTTCACAGGTGTAATGCTGTTATTTTTCTCAATGAAACGCCAAAAGGCTTCAGGATCAGAAGACACGGTAGATACGTCCATGCCACGGACCAAGTGCTGTACTTCGACGGAGTGCTCTATCGCTAGACGTTGACAGATAAAGAGGATATGGTAAGGAACGTGCTCTAGTGCTTTAGGGAGCTCACCCACGAAGAGATTCTGGTTGGGGAGATCGCGTACTTCGTATGACATCTTTAAGGGAGACTGTGTGTCAAGAGATGTCTGCCCTTGATAGTTTGGTACCCCATTGGATGGGAATAGTGTCGAATCCGATGTGTAGGCTTGCTGATCGCTCTGGTTGGTAATGAGAGGCGCTTGAAGATTTCCTTGCCTCTCATTTGGAATCAATTCCGATCTATTCCGCTTGTCTTCAACCTCGACAGAGGCCTGAAGGAGACTGTCTTCATCGATAGAACCAAAAGTCGACCGGCTTTGACCGCTGCTTCCTTGGGAAAAGACTTCATTGAGATCTCGCTGAATGTCTTGTTCGAATACTCCATTTCCTGAACGCCAAATAGCTTGGTAGAGATCGCGATCATCTAGGGAATCCACTGTATTCGAACTTATCTTTGTCAATCTAGGCTCGAGCAGGCTCGTCTCCTGGAGATCTCTGACAGCATCGATTGACGTAAACGAAGTGTTTGTAGTAGCTGCTGTCTCCTGGGAAGAAAAAGATGTGTTGTTGAAGGATGTGTTGGCCGAGGATAAGCCTGAAGGTGCAGCCTGGAAAGATCGAGCCATGTTGAGAGTCGGCTTCACGAACTGTGGCGGTGCGATGGGCGAAGATTTGATAGACTTGACAGTCTGCTTCCCTTTGGAGGTTTTGGTCAACTTTGCCGAGTTCTCAGAACGACCGGAGCTTTCGTAAGGCCTTTTCTTGGTGATATGTAAAGAGACATGATTACTTGCCTGATAAAGCGTCTGTGCTGGCCTAGTAGACGGTGATGGTGAGGGCGATGGGGATGGGGATGGCGATTGTGGTGTCTCAAATTCTTGGTCCGTCTCATTATCAGTGTCAACGTCTGTAGGTGACCCTGGATCGATGGCCGTCGCATACGATTCACGCTCATCTTGCTGGACGTCGAGCGAACGGTTTGTTGCCTGTGGAACTGACTTTACTCCTGTGCTCTTTTTAGCTCTTGCATAATACTTTCCCCTTTGCACATGCTATTACTTGGCAACTAGTTGTGGGGTAGAGTGCTAGGCCGACAACTCGCACTAGAAAGAGATAGTAATTCGAGCAACATAGGTTATGAATTGCACCCAGTTATTGAGCATAGACATCCTCTACCGATGTGGTAAAAGTGCAGGTAGAAACTTCGGAGGGCGTAAAAAGCAAGTGTACCTACCACTTGAGGATGTGGTCAAACTTTTGGGCGGTTCATTTTTTGGCATCCTACCCCTCGGAACCAGTTGTGAGTTTTTCGTACGGGACAAAATCTCATGAAGTTCTTTAAGACGCTTTTCGCGTGTCAGACTCGGAGCAAGGCTTTCAAATTCCCTGATCGCATGATGCAGGGCTGGCTGTGCGCTGTAGAACAGCAACTTAACAAGCGCACAGATCTTGTCTGGAGTATCATCCACCTTCGATCTTTTTGGCGACCATTCAGCGCCACGAATCTTTAGGCCAACCTTCCATTCTTTCTCCAGCGAGCGAATTAGGTCGTCGATGGCTGCCCCAGGGCGGCGGAGGTGCGGAGTTCCCGGTAGCGAAGCGGCAGGACCACCGTTACCCGTCATGACGCAGGGCAACAGCGTTCCAACACGCCTCGTGGTTCATGCGATCAGATCAATGACATGAACTCTTGCGAGCAAAAGAGAGCGAATATGGGTTGGAGGAAATGTGATATGGTGGGGTAGGTTGCGGAAGGCTGGGGATACTGGATGTGTGCCTGAGGCAGCGATTGCTGGGCGTTGAAACCAATGGTCTGTGCATGCAACGCGTTATCACGCAGTCACGCGGCGGGACCATTCACCGAGGAATACAGTTCCACCACTAATCCACGCAGCGCCTTCCAAGAGCTTAGTCAGTAACCAGAAAAAAAAACGTTTCACAGTATCTCCGGAGAACACATCATAGTCCTCACTAAGCTTCTTAAAGCTATCGCCGTGGACAATGGTAACCTGTGGCGTGGATAGGAGAAGAATATCATGTGTCATATACGGCTCCATGAGGTCGTCTAGATTTGTGCCATTTCGCTTTTCGCACTATGGCGGATATTTTCCCAAACATGCAATAGGTATTCGTGAAATTCAATGAACCGTGAACCAAGCCCCATCCTTCCCAAATCCAAGCTCTTTCAAGCTTAGACCTTCATCTCCTCGAGACCGTGCTTCCAGACGGTAACGTAGGGTGTGACACCATCCTCGCGGTAGTTGAGGAGGACGATCATGCCATCGGGGTTCATGGACTCGCCGGTGAAGAACTCGTAGTCCTTGAAGTTGCTGATGATCTTCTTGGCGTAGCCAGAGGCCTTGGTCTCGAAGTCCTTGATGGTGGCCTCGTCAGCACCCTTGCTCTTAAGGGCCTCCTTGACTGCCTTCATGTAGCCTGCATCTCGTTAGTCGTGCGCTTCTTGTAATTTCTGCTAGCGTATTTACCCTTGAGGTAGGTAAGGTAGCCCTTCTTGTCGAAGCCGGTCTCGTTCAGGCGGAAAGAGTAGACGACGTCGATCTTGGTCTCCACGTTGTCCTCGGCACCCTCCTCTTGCTCCTCAGCAGAAGCATTGGCACCAGTGTCTATGCGATGTTAGCTCTGTGACTGATCCGTCTGCATTGGCGGGACCCACCGAATGATTCTCCTCCGACGTTGATCTTGGTGCAGTCGGCCTCGTAGACGACGCCGTCAATCTCCTGGAGGTTGTAGGAGTCAGAGATGATCTCGTCACCGGTGAGGATGTCCTGGAAAAAGGTCAGTACTCTGCGTCTAGTAGGGAAAACGTGTTATCCTCGTATGCGCAAAGCATGGTGAAGGCTCGCAGGGAAGGCGGGGTAGTAGCGCAGGCAAGAGCGACGCAGCGCAGGCAGAGCGTACCTTGTAGATGAGCATTTTGGCGGTGGGTGTGGAGTATGGGATAGAGTGGAAAGAGTGTAGGTTGGTCGGGGCTGGCAGTCGAGGGGTTGTAGACTGGAGCGGAAAGGAAGCGCTGGACTATAAGGGTGTGAGAGAGAATTTGGTGGGGTCGAAAATTGGGTGTGAAAGCGGGCTAGCCGCAAACAGTAGCAGCCATGGGCTGGCCGTGCGCACAGGGCGGGTGGCGAGAAATGCAGGCCGGTGGCTTTGCGACGACTAGGCCGGCCCGGGTGCTCGGCGGCGAAATGTCATGATGCGCGCGTATATCGTAAACCCCCGTCATGCCTTGCTCCTGTCACCGGCACGCAGCACCACTCTCACACGACTTTCACCTCCACATCGCTCCGCTCACCTCAGCCTCTCCTTTCTGAGCCCGACCGGTCAATTGCAAGCCCTTGGCCAAACACTTCAAGCGACCCTCCGTCGTCCGCTGCATCGCTCCCTTCTCCCTAATTTCCCTGGTCCGCGGCTTCCGGCCTTGTTCCGTCTTTGTCACCCCGTAGCTGACGCTGCGGTCCCGCCACGAGCAAGCTGCTTCCTTCACCATCGTCACCGGCTACTCTGCGCTGCTTCTCCACCTCACATAGTTACCTCTGTAATCGATAATCGCCTCTCCCAGGGCACCTCTGCCGCATCATGGCGAGCGCAAACACAACATCATACGACCTCCCGCCGCTCCCCGAATACACCCTCGAACCTCTCCAACCGCTCACATCGTGGGCATCCGACGCCTTCATACAAGCGGCATTGCCTGTTGTTGGCTACTGGGTCGTCTCTCTGATCTTTCACGCCATTGATGTTTACGACCTGTTCCCGCAATACCGCCTGCACACGCCAGCTGAGGTCCTCAAGCGCAACCATGTTTCACGATACGAAGTACTACGCGACGTTATACTCCAGCAAATCATCCAAATAATTGCCTCCTTCAGCCTGTCGTTATTCGACGACGCGCCCACGACTGGCAAAGCTGACTACGATGTCGCTTGGTACGCGCAAAAGATCAGGCTCGCACAACGCGCCGTCCCATACGTCTTGTCTGCAGTAGGCGTCAACCCAATTGTGCTAGCCTCCAAGGTTGCTACTTCTCAACCGATGCTCTCTTCTGTTCTTGTCGGAGGCAAATACCCCGCGCTGCTGCAGACAGCGACAATTGCCGGAGAGCAGACTCTGGTTCCCGCTTTTGCTTCATGGGAGATGGCTGTCGCTAGCTTTGCGTACTGGTATGCCATACCCGCCCTCCAGTTCAGTGCTGCTATTGTCATCATGGACGCGTGGGAGTACATGCTGCACCGTGCGATGCACTTGAACAAGTGGTTATATGGTAAGGCCTGACCGACATAATGCTCCCGACGCCTTTTTTAACATGAATAGTAACTTTCCACTCACGCCACCACCGTCTTTACGTGCCATATGCCTACGGAGCTCTGTACAACCACCCGATCGAAGGATTCGCGCTCGATACCCTGGGTGCTGGTTTGAGCTACCTGCTTACCGGCTTGACAATGCGTCAGTCCATGTGGTTCTTTACGGGATCTACCATCAAAACGGTCCTCGATCACGGTGGTTACGCTTTTCCCTACGACCCTATCCACTGGATCTTCCCCAACAATGCCGCTTACCACGATATCCACCATCAAAGCTGGGGTATCAAGACCAATTTCTCGCAACCCTTTTTCGTCTACCTTGACCGACTTGGTGGAACAATGTACAAAGGCGATGTAGCCGCCAAGTACGAGCGTGCTCGTCTTACGGCGCAGCAGAAGGTCGACCAAGAAAAAGAGAATGAAGCTACCGCAGTGCCTCTGCCAATTGCTACAGCCTCCAGTCTGTCACAAGACGAGAGTGCGGTGCCACAAGGCGCATCCACGCCTCGCATTTCACGAAAGAAGGCCAGCAGCATTTCATCGACAGCGGGCACGAACTTCAAAGACCTAACGAACAAGGTCAACCAAAACTTGCACGGCAGGAGAGCCAACGTTCTAGGGCTAGAAAGCTCGCATTGATGGTACTGATTTTCTTCTCCTACTTACACAAACATCACAAGGTTACAGTAATGTATAGTTCTCTGGTGTATAACTCCCGGGTAGCTTTCTTGCGTCTGCTGCATTGTATTACTTTCTTGCATGTTCCGATAGCTTCACATTTACCCCTGGTTGTTCTTGAGATACGGCCTGTTATTCTGTCATCATTCGCTCACGGACTGTACGATTTTGGGACGGCGTTTTCTGGATGGTTTGGACCGCATTGAATTTGAGTTGGTCAGCTACAATACTAGATTGTTTATTGCCTACAATCTAGTTCTATGCCACACTTTTGAATATGTGGATGACTTACAACACAATGTTTTACTCAGTCAATCTTAGCTGATACACCAACTCTGTCTCAATGAGACTGTCTTCAATTCCAGCACCCCGTGGACGCCGACCTTTGGCCATGGTGCGTATGGTTCTATTTAAATCTCCATCTAGTACAACTCGTACCCCTCAAGCCGTTCCATGACATATGTATACATATTAATAGCTTTCACAGATTGTACTCACACGTGTCAAATATATGTATTGACACCATTGATGAATCATGAGTTCACAACGTTTTTCTGCAATTGCACCTTTTGGTATTCTTAATCTCCTATATCTTCTTCCATACTCGCTACAGATCTATCACAGTAACCTTCACTGCAACTTACCCACAATGCATCACAACCACAAAGACAAATCGCAACACTTTATGATGCGTTCGTTTCTGCACAAGATGGAGACTCGCCGTCTCCACAACAGTGACATGAAAAGGCTTGTCCGGATCCTCAGAAAAGTGCCCGCTCCTACCGAAGAGGATTATGAGCGCAAGGAGGTGCTCTACCGTGAACGTACCAAGAAGGCTATCCAACGTCTTCCCAGTCGGCTGCGCTGCTCGCGGCTCTCCTTTGGTTCTACAAGCCTGTGCTCGATACACAATGATCTAAATCAAAACCTGGTCAACGACATATGGAGCTGGATACGCCACGAATTTGACGGCGCTATCGGAAAGTTTCTCTATCCACTTATCATGTCTGACGGTGTTCTAACAGCCGACCAGAAGTATCAAGTCCGCCAATTGGAACCAGTGTTACAAATGTGGCAACCCAATTTCAGCGTCGAAGCCTCCGCTCCACCGGATCATGAGCCAATCCATTGTGGATCCAGATGGCACTACCAGCAAAACAAATGCTCGGCCTGTATAATGGCGCGCATCGGCTCCCACGAAAACGTCCTTTTTGCGTTGTTCGCAGGAATGGTTGGCCGTTTCAACACCAAGGCATTTACCACAATGGACGCCCTCCGCAGCGTTGCTGGTTGGGATAGTATGAAGAGCAAACGTCTTAGATTTGTGCGTTATTGGGTCCGGAAAACAATTGGAGATACTGCATTGCTGAGAGCGGGCGACCTAGGTCTGGAGCTTAAACGCCTTCGCGTCCAGTGGAAGCATGAGCGATACCATCAGCCTCGTTTACCTTCTCGGAAAAGGATGCAGAAGACACGCGGTCTGGCTTTAGATCAAACCTCAAAGATTCCGATTGAGACTGTTCATGTGCACCCTCCTGGTCGTTCTACAACCAGTACTGTAAGCTTGCAACAATCCAACCAGAGAGCCACTCCGAAGCTGTTGGACCAAAAACTTGGTCCCAATCCCCGACCTCCAGATGCAAACAGCCTATCGCCATTAGAAGATCTGGGTTTCCAGCTTGAAATGCCCAGCATGCGTGAGCGGACGTATACAATTCCTGGCGACCAGCAAGATGTTCACCCGGCTTTGAGGGAATGCCCTACGTCCGTATCTGTCCACTCGCCAATGAACGCTTCAGAACAGTTCCACGAATCGAGAAGCCCAGATGGCTCATACGGCACCTTGGAGCCTGATGACAGGATGAGTTTCGTTGCTCCTAGGCCGGCCCTGCTTCACCCACCCCTCACACTCGATCGTAAGCCTCTGCAGAGATTGAGATCTATGAACAATGATCTTCGTGCAGACTCCATCCACAACATTGCTCCTTCGATGATCTCGTGTGCCTCAACCAAACTGTACGCCCCGTCTGTTGCAACAACCCGTACAATCGCCTCTTACAACGGTGGCCCGTCTTCTCGTGCCAACTATGTGGATCCCCTCGACAACCCCATCTATAATTACATCGAAACGCAAGAGGAGCGCGTAGAAAAGTATCGCAGGCTCCTAGCCACGCGCCCTGATTCTGACCCTTTCGCCGAGTACGAAGATGACGCTATGGTGCTTCCAAGACCACAGCGACAGTCCATGTACTCTGCTTTCGGAGACAACGCGTTTGATGACAGCCGTTTCGACAGAATTGACGAAGAGATCGCGGAAGATGAAACCGAGGATTGGGAAAAGACCGAGCCTGATGGAGACGATGAGCTATTCTCAGAGGAAAGAGGCATAGGGGTGGAATGAGGAGTTTGATGCAAGTGTGCGCTCTGATGATGTGGATTGAGCAATAAATAGCATTGTTTTCATGCCCCGAAACTGTGTGCTTCTGACCAAAGATACCCGAGACGTTTTAGTGTGGTGAATACGAGAAGTCAGTGTATCTTTCACATGCACCTATACCATTACAACTCACGACTCATCCTAGTTTTTAGGAGCTTAAGTGGGATATACAGTGAAGGCATCAAGCACCATCTATGGCGGTAAGACACTGCGAGAAGTGAAGTATGAGGGTCGTCAAGTGAGAGTTTACTTGACGGGATTTGCTCCGGTTTGAGAGACGTAACATGCAAAATAGTGTGGCTCAGGCTACAAGTTTCGCATCGCAAGTTGTCTTCAGTGCCAACCACGGCTGGTTTGGAAGATCAATGCAGCTGACCTTTGGGTCTCTATATTGTTATTCAGGCAGTGATGTCACCGCCAAACCCAATCGGCCGTCGGACTGGACCTTGTTTCTTGTACGGCACAATGGCCATGGCTTTGTAGGTTTTACCCATGCCATTCGGCCCTCTGTCGACCAGACGCTTCCAGCCTGTTTCGAGGCGTCTTCTTGTATCCTCATCCTTCGCTGCCTTGAGTAAGCGATCGGCGCGCTCTTTGATGCCCATTGTCGACAAAAAGAAGGACTGTTCAACGGGCCCATGAACCTCAACCCCAGGAGAGGCATCTAGAGCTGCATCTGCGAGAGCGAGGAAGTCCACATCAGCCGAAAGGTCGACCAGACCTGGTGACGCAAAAGGTGAGACAGTGGTATGTGAGCGAATGCCCCTGAGAGTGTTCGCTGGGATAGTATCCAAAGGGCCGTAGTCCAAGATCAAGGCTGCACCAGACGGTTGTGTCTTTACAAAGCTTTCCTCTTCGACAGCATTTTTCCCTGAATAGTTTTGAGATGCTGAGACGTTGCGAGACTTCGCATTGTCGCCACCTATCCGTACCGCAAAGTCGGATACGTAAGCAAAAGATTCAGGCGAAATCTCAATGATCGCATCGGGTGTATCCTCCAGTTTCTTGTAACGATCAGACAGTTTCGGCAAATACAAAGAGTGTGGCGTTGGTGTCTTCGAAACGGTCAGTTCAAAGTCCAGTTTCTCATCTTCTTTATTTGACGACGAAGAACTAGCTGCATTCAAGTTGGAATACGGCGAGGTTGGCGATACTACCAGCTCATGCCAGGTGTTCTTGGGTGTCGTTACTCCATGCTTTGGTTTTATGGGACCGGTGGGTGTGATGATGGTCGATGAGGCTGGCACTGAGGACTGCGCAATGTTTTGGAAGACATGGATCGGGAGTGCGTCGAAGAACTCGTGAGCGAGGATGAAAGGGGTTGCCGTATGCTCTACAAATGTTGTCAGCCCTATGTCAACCAGGCGAATGGAGTTCAGAACCCACCTTTTGGTACAAGCCGTATGTCTTCGCACCACTCAATCTTGCAGGCTGGCATATATTTGCATTGTGCAGTCAATCCAATGCTGCTCTTCTTCAGATCCTCGGTGCCGGAAAGCAACTTTGCTTGTTGTTTCTGCAAGTAAGGTGACGCTTCGACAAGATAAATGGCTTCAATGCTTCTAGTAAAAGCCTTGAAGCTCGATATAGTCTATCTCTGTGTCAGTATGCTCTACTTTCTCTTCTCTTGCGAATGTATTTACCCTTAGAACATCGTCCATTAACGTTCCTCGACCTGGACCAACCTCAATAATCTGCACCTTTTCTTTCTTTCCTTGAGCCAGCCACTCCGCATACAGCCATATACCAATAAGCTCGCCAAATACTTGACTGATCTCTGGTGATGTCACAAAGTCGCCTTTTGTACCAAACTGATCCTGTCCGCTTGACGTCTGTCTCGTGTAATAACCGCCTTCGGGGTGAGTAAGGCATTGCCGCATATACGCCGCTACGGAAATTGGGCCCGTCGTCTGGAGTAAAAGTTAGCAATGCCTTTTTAATCGATGATGGGCTCATACCGTGATAGCTTCAGCCAGCGTCTTCGCAAGCGGCGTCGACCATTGCCGTTCCGGACCATTTGATGTAGAAGTAGAAGACCATCGAGAAGTGCATTTAGCTGTTCGGTTCGAAATTGCTCGTGGCCCTGAACCACCACACCTTGTCGCCGTCCGTAGTAGATTCAGAGATTTGGTCCTCATGTCGATATGCGTTACCGAAGTTCCATGACGTCGGCGCGTTCGGAACTACAAAAAGTTTAGATCGGAACGCCAATATGAACGAAGCTATGACCATCACTTAAAGCTTCCCACGTGCTATCCGTCGATCCAACGCCATCTGCATCAGAGTACACCAAGCAACTCTTTGTACAAACCGAACGAGGAGATTTAGAATTTGCATAAACCTTCGTCAATAAGCAGGTAATTTGGAGTAGAATAGGCGAAAGTTTCACTGCGTACAAGAGAGAGAGAGACAGAAAGCGCCATGGCATCACGGTGGGCGAATGAGGAAGCAGACAAGGCCGAGGAAGCGCGTCGAAAGAAAGAAAAAGAAGAGAAGAAGCGCCTGAAACTCCAAAAACAGCAAGAGGCGGAGGCAGCAGCACAGGCAGCGCAAGAGGCAGAATCTAGACCCGCAAAGCGACGAAGATTATCAACAGGAAACGATGATGAGGAAACCCCGAAGCTAAAAGAGGACCAAGTTGAGAGGCAGCTCTTACAATTTGAAGGCGGACTTTGGGGTCCGTGCCGACATATTTCTAATTTCGAGACCCTCAACCAGATCGAAGAAGGCTCATATGGCTGGGTATCAAGAGCGCGCGACATTACCACTGGCTCAGTAGTCGCCCACAAGAAAGTCAAAATGGACTACAATCAGGACGGCTTCCCAATCACCGCGCTACGAGAAATCTCGATCCTGCAACGCTGCAAACACACCAACATTGTCGATCTATTGGAGGTTTTATCCGGCGACGACCCACAAGAATGCGTCCTAGTCATGGGATTCTTCGAGCATGACCTCAAGACGCTACAAGAAGACATGAGTGAGCCTTTTATGGCGAGTGAAGTCAAGACGCTCCTACGGCAATTGGTTTCTGGGGTTGGGTTTCTGCACGACAACTTCATTATGCATCGGGATCTGAAAACATCAAACATTCTACTTAACAACCGCGGACAGCTCAAGCTCGCTGATTTTGGTATGGCGCGATATGTCCCACCTGCGAATGCGCCCCTTACACAGTTGGTCGTCACGCTATGGTATCGCGCCCCAGAACTCTTGTTAGGCACAAGAGATTACGGGACCGAAGTCGACATGTGGAGCGTAGGTTGTGTATTCGGCGAGTTACTTGCCAAAGAACCACTATTACAGGGCAAAAACGAGGTCGATGAGCTTTCCCTCATCTTCTCGCTCTGTGGCCTTCCTTCGGAAAAGACCTGGCCACAATTTTATCGCCTGCCAAACTCCAAATCATTAAAACTACCACGCGACCATCGTAATGCCCCAGGCTTCAACCGGGCAAAGTTCCCCTTCCTAACAGCATCCGGTATCGAACTCCTGTCTTCACTGCTATCCCTGAACCCCGCCCATAGGCCCACAGCACAAGAAGTCTTGGAACATCCTTACTTCAAAGAGCAACCGAAACCGAAACAGACCGAAATGTTTCCGACATTTCCAAGTAAGGCAGGACAAGAGAGGAGGAGGAAGAAGAGTCCTAATGCGCCGAAGAGGGGAGAGGCGCCAGGGGGGATGCAGGGCAACCTGGACTTTAGCAGCATCTTCAAAGGGCGAGAGGAGGAAGAGAAGGGAGCTGGGTTTCAGCTCAAGATGACTTGATGGATCAAGAGATGAAGCGAAGTGTATACACGTGGGGGGCAGTTTCGATATGGGGAACATGAACTCAGTCCAGTTAGGGAAATGGGCCTTCGATTTTTGAATGCCGGTAGCCTGGCTAAAAGAATATTCTCCTACGTGAACATGCAGATATCACCAGGCCTTCCCCAAAGATAGCAGCCAAAGGTTCGCATCTCTCATCTGCGGTCCCGACTCCGACTACGGTCGCTTCCATAGGAGCTATAACTGGGACTTCTCCTTCCTCCACCTCCACGGCCTCCTCTCCTTGGCAGACTATCCCGCCTGCCGTAGCCTCCTCCCCCACTTCGTCTTGGTGGTGTTCTGGATGGAGACCGACTGTAAGAAGACCGCGACATGCTTCGCCGTGGTGATCGACTGCGAGATCGTGTGTACGACCGGGGTCGTCCTCCATAACCCCCTCGTCCACCACGGCCGCCTCCACCTCTTCCTCGACCCCAGTGTCCTCGATCAGGCGACATTCGGCGCGGTGGGGAGCGATAACGCGATGGTCCGTCCATAGGTGGTGGTCTGTATGCGCCAGGCGGCCCTCCACCTCTGGGCGCTCTTCCACCGCGTCCGTAACCACCATCGTAGTCGTCGCGCGGTGGTGGGCCCCTGCGCGCCGGCGGAGGCGTCTGTGAGAAGCGACGTCGAGGAAGGACAATCGAAACTTGAATTTTCGCTCCGTCTAATTGTGCGTCGTGCATCTTCGCGATCGCACGTTCGGCGTCGTCGATCTCTTCGTAGAGAATATAGGCTATTCCGCGATTGATGTTGACTATTTGGCAATCAGTCCTGCGTTTGTGAAGAGGCCGGGTAAGACATACAAGTCGGATTCATGGGCATCCTGAGTTCTTTAATGGTACCGTACTTGCCAAATATTTCGCGCACATGATCCTCTTTGACATTCCTGGTCAAGGCTTCTACTACGATCTGCTGGAGGATGAGCAAGGTGCTGGTGGAGGAAGGCTGAACCAGAAGCAAGCTACGAAAGTTGCATTTAATAATATAAACTTGCTTACCTTTGCGCTTCTAGGTGCTGGCGACCCATCTCTTGGTGTTGGACTACGGGTATAGCTCCTTCCTCTTGAACGCGACCTGCTGTCCGGTGTGTAGCTTCTTCGCCCATTGCGTCTTGGTGACGGTGATCTAGGCGACCGCGATCGACTGACTGAACGGGAACGTGTGAGCGACCGCGGTGTTACTGAGCGTCGCGGTGATACTGAATGCGCCGAACGAGGACGAGTGAGTGATCTCGTACGCGACCTGTCGCGAGAAGGGCTGCGCGTGCGTGAGCGTGCGGGAGATGGAGAACGAGACGGCATGCTTTGGATAGTGGCGCAGTTATAACCGTGTCTTATATTTGCTCTATGCTCGTCAATGTGCATTCATCAGTTGGATTTGGTGTTGTTCTATCAAGGACGCCAAACGCGACGTAACTTTCGGGTAGTGAGCTGTAAGCTTCTGGAAGCTTATCTTGGCGTTAGCACGTGACGAGCAGAAGAAGTCCATGAACGGCGGCGCAATAACAGCAGAAATAGCCAGCACGATGGACATGTGACGACGCTTTTGAAAGGAAAAGAGCTCGACTTGAAGAGTGAACCAAAACGCAATGTAAAGACCTGGATGTTGCATAGCCCTCAGCTACTATCGTGTCAACCTCCCCGCGGAGCTCGATGTTACGTAGCTGCAATCTCATGTGAAGATTGTCTTCAAACAGGTCAAAGGCAGCCTGCGCATTAGACGTGTGAAGGACTCTGACTTTTCGTTCGACGTCTGCCGCTGTTGGACTGTTGGACCGATTGCTAGATTGCCAGCACTTTGACCCGCTATCCGTTGTCGACCCCAGAGAGCGGCGGATACTAGGCGGGTATCGCGGTGGACATAGCTAAATGCGGCGCGCTCACTTCCCTTGCGTCTAGGCATCAAGAGCAGTATCGACCCCCACGCTGTAAGCAGCTGCATGATGGCGCAAAAAAACGCGTGATGAGTTGTTAGATTAGAAGCTCAGAGGTTTGCATGTTGAAATTGGAGGAGTGAATAGCGTCTGTGAGATTTGATCGCGAGAGGCGGGGTCAAAACAGCCCCACTATCAAATCGCAACTTTAGCCCAACAACGCAGCCTTGAACACCCTCACCGCATTTACCCTCTTGCTCTGCTTAGTCAAAAGTACCTGCATCACTTCGTCGCACCCCTCTTCACTTTCTCATCACTACAAGCTTCCACAGCACGCACATCAACCCCTCGCAAACATGTCCTGGCAAGGTAAGCAGCTCAAGACGCCAACTTGGAAAGGTGGTGGCTAACATTGAACGTAGAATACGTTGACACCAGGTACGCTTTGCCTCGCAACGAGTAGCCGTCCATATCTAACGCTCTTATCTAGCCTCGTCGGCACCGGCAACATCGACAAGGCCCTCATCTGCGACGTCGAGGGCGCAACTGCCTGGGCCGCATCCGCCGACTTCTCGGTACGTCGTCCGTTTAACACGCGCCAGATGCTGCAAGCGTCCCTGATGCGAGGCTCTGGTAGCGCATATACGATGCATTGATGCTGACGGAGTACAGCTTTCCGCTGAGGAGAGGGCTGCCATCGCCAGGTCTTTCGGCGACAAGTCAGAGCCCAAGAAGGTCATCTCGGAGGGTGTCAAGGTCAATGGCGTAAAATACATGACCATCGAGGCAAGCGATGACTCGCTCAAGGCAAAGAAGGTACCATACCAGACACAGTCCACAACATAGCATACAGATACTGACAACAACTTCAGGGCAAAGAGGGCGTTGTCGCCTTCAAGACCACCCAAGCCGTCATTATCGCCCACCACCCCGACACCATTCAGACCCCCAACGCCTTCAACTCAGTAGTTGAGCTCGGCGAGTACCTGAAGAAGCACGGAATGTAAAGCGCCTTCGATTCGAGACTGTCTGTACTTTAGGGATATTTGCATAACCAGTTGAGGAGCGATGAATGGCATCATGGGTGACTGCTCATGGATATAGATATGATTGACGATGGACGAAATAGCGATATTGAAGGATCCTCTTCGATACAATGACAAACTCAACCCCTAAGGCCTGACCCTTTTTACTGCACTCTCAGACTGATACTGTGATTCACCCCGCCAATGAGGTTCATCTAGTATTAAGCTTCAAGTTGCCATCGCCGATAGGATGGATGAGCTGTAGCGTTCCATATTCACATGTGTCATTGCGAAAATGAATTAGGTTCGACGAAAATCACGAACCTTAGAGAATCATCATGGTAAGGACAGCCATGGTTAAGTTGGCGGCTGCAGTATGGAAAATGAAGGACTGTATCAAGGTATAAGCCGACATCCGACCCGAGAACGAAATGAAAATCTATAGTCCCTTCATGCTTCCCAATTTCTTCACGACCTTCTCCCCAAATGCTCTCTGTAACTGTGCAGCGACAACTTCCCTCTTCTCGTCTGCATCTTCATCGAGGTCAAACGCCACGGGACCTTGAAGACAAGCCGTAATCACACCTTCTACTGTATTGCCTAGGTGACTTTTCACACCACGAAGATGTTGTGGTTCCTTCTCCAACAATCTCTTCTTAACACCCCAGGTATCTTTAGGTCGGGCGTTCTCGAGGTCAATACAGACAATCTGGTCGATGGGCCTCCAGTAAGCAATCTCCAACAGGACAATACCGAGCGAGTAAAGATCAAAGGATTTCTTGTAAGACTCTCGACCGCCGGCGTCCTCACGATTTCCTTTGTGTTGTACAGACGGATGGCGGTAGATGTCTGCGGCAGGATTGTCAAGAGGGCGTTCGGTCATATCGTCGCTAGTAGCTGGGCGAGAGTAGTCAAAGCCACTGATGAAAGGATCCGCATAATTGATTTCGCCTTCCATGACCCGGCCGTTGTGAACTTTACCCCCCTTCTTAGGAAACAGTAAGATGTTGGCGGATCGCAAACCCTTATGTAGCCAATCAACTGCATGTAGACGTTCGACTGTCTCAACAAGCAGGCGCATGAGCGTGATGCGATCCGTCAATGAAGGAATGTCGTTTCCAGGGGTAGTAATGAGCGCATGTAAAGATGTAGGCTCCGTATCCATCGGAACAGATGCAGGTTTCTCAAAAACCAAACCAAAACGTCCTTCGTCTTCGTCGATGAAATAGCCGCGGCAGAAGGGTGCTCTGAACCTGACTGTCCTGTTGTGCTTACTGAGCAAAGCAGCTAGTTTCTTGACACGAGCATGGATTTTGGCATCGACTCCACCATCTTGCTGCATAGGACCGGAGGTGTCAGGAGTTTTCCATTCGATCCATACAGGCGTTTTTTTGTAGTATGCTTCCGTACGTACACCCTCATCAATTTCTTGAGGAAATTGGGTGCCTTGCCTAGGTCGTACGTCTGCATAGTGGAGCTTAGTATCGCGGATGTCGTTCGGGAGATCTGGCATATTGATCTCCCGTGCATAGCTTGATGTGAGATCTTCGCGAGAGTCTTCAATAGCAAGGTGAATGAAGTTTTGCTGGGCCAGGGCGGCCAGAGGCTGATGTGCGGCACCGCGAGCTATGACGGCGCCACTATCAATTAGTCCATCGTACTGGGCGTTGTCCATCTCTAGCAATGAGTGTGATCTTTGGAAGCTGATCTGTTCTAACTGCTGAGATTGGTAGATTTGAACCATGTGCGACATAGTCCTGTTCAGCAGGACTATCTGGTCATTGGTACGTGTCTGCATGTCAATGAGAAGGTCCATTTGAGCCTTGTCTAGCGCTTCGTGCATCTTGTCATTGAAGTTGGCCAGTTTCGCAATAAGCTTTTCCATCTTTTGGTGGTCGAAAGTCGCCCATCTTAGTCTCTTGGGCACATCCTTGAATTGTTGCACAAACTTGAGAGACATCTTGACCAGCTCTTCGGTGGGCGGAAACCGGACGGGCTTTACAGGCCCTTCGCTGGAGCCGTTGGTATCATTCTCGATCAACCGGTCCGAATTTTGCAGCACGAACTCTTCAGCTGCTTCCTCCAGGAGAGGATCAGTGAGCCTCTCATATCTGTTGTCTAGTCGGCCGAATGAGAAGAGAAGCTTTTGCTGCTGCTCCATGATGTTGATGATTAGGCCTTTCGACATGTGGTTCAAAACTAGCTTGTCATCTCGATAGTCAAGCTGTACAAGCTTTGCCCAGTTGAGTAGTCGATGTTCCTCGACCTTGAAGTTAAGCAGAAGAGCTTGACAGTCTTTACGGAATTGACAAGCATCAGCGATTAGTTCGTAACCTAATGAGATCTGTCAGATATCATTTGAGTGCAACAAATAGGTGTATTGACCTTGGATGCATCCTGCAAACACCTGGAAGAAGAAGGATACACCTCCAATCGCTAGCTCAGCCATTGTTTTGGCCTGATAGACAGGTGGTTTCTGTGTAAAAAGACCCTTGAACAGGACACTTGGATGATCTCACTAGGGAAGAACAGAAAGCGGCAAGATAAATACAGAATGTGCGTAGTAGTTCAAGAGTGAGCAGGAAGAAGGCTGATACTTCAGTTATATCGCTAGGGCTACATGAGCAAATAGTACGTTGCCATGCAGGCGCGCGCAGCCTGATTTGTGACCAACACTGCCTCCATGGTCTCGAGCTGAAGGCCGTCTGTAAATCCTAGGCTAATCAAACAGTCTGGGCTAGTGGAGTCCGGTCAAGGTGGAATCGCGATGGCGTTCTGCTACGCATGAGAAATGCTGCAATCGTGGCTGAGCGGTGTTCTGTTGAGTTCGTCTAGTGCCACGAGAGACAGGCCTGACGTCGACGTAGGGGAGTCGGGTGTGCCTCGAAGGAAGCTGCGGTCCGCACAGCCACGCTAGCAAGCCACTGAACATGGACCCTGGTCGGATGAGCGCGTCGCATGCTGTCACCCATCTGCTCACCACTGACAGACAACGGGCCTCTCGCTCTCTGGCAATGCTTCTCGCGTATCTCAATCCTTGGTATCGCCCCGAATCAGATTTCGAACCCACGCCCTTCGTCGCGCTTTTATTCCGGGCCCCCGTAAAGCTACTCCTCTACCATTCGTATCACCTTCTCGCGTACCTGCGCTCAACCCCAAAACCCTTACAGCAACCACCTGTTCGGGTCGTCTGCATTTCCGATACGCATAACCACATACCGGAAGATGTACCAGAAGGCGACCTGCTCATCCATGCCGGGGATATGACAAATGGTGGAAGCGTGGCGGAGATACAGAAACAAATAGACTGGCTGAGTTCACTGCCGCATAGAGAGATTGTCGTCGTCGGTGGAAACCACGATACGTTTCTAGATCCAAGGACCCGACCTTCGCTATCTGAGGAGCAGAGAACTGGGAAGCTGAACTGGAAGAGGGTGCACTACTTGCAGCACCGGCGGTTGAGCCTCACGATCAGGGTCGAGCCTAGGGACGGTGTTCAGACAGATGCATCGACACCCCTACTCGCAGCGGAACAAAACCAGAGGCGGATACGGATCTATGGCGCACCACAAATTCCAGCGTGCGGACCAATGGACATCCATGCTTTTCAGTATGAACGAGGTCGAGACGCCTGGTCAGAAACTGTGCCTGAAGATATCGATATCTTGATCACACACACACCGCCGAGATTCCATCTGGACTTATCATTACCGACAGGAATTGGCTGTGAATACCTTTTTGCTGAGGTCAAACGAGTAAAACCTACATTGCATGTCTTCGGCCATGTGCACTGGGGAGCTGGGCGAACTGTAGTATACTGGGATAAAGCCCATGATGCCTATGTGCGAGGGCTTTCGATAAAGTCAAAGTGGACGCGAGGCCTACTCAATCCGAAGCTGTGGTGGAACATTGTTAGAGTCGCATACCGTGGTATAAGAGAGCTTCTGTGGGATCGCGTGTGGGGTGGACAGAGTCCCAACACAATCATGGTCAATGCAGCCCAAACAATTGGCAATACAGGGAAGTTGGGTAATCCCATCCAGGTCGTCGACATTTAACACGATCCGTCACAGTATACCCAAAGCAGTCGTAATCGTAATGTATAAACCTCTTGAGCAACACAGCAGTAAGCACTTCATTGTCGGGAAACCTTTTCGAACTAAAAAGGATTCTGTTGATTTCGCTCGACTATCTCGCAGGAGAAGCCAAGTTCAACAAGGAGACCAGGCGATTCGCCGTTCCCCGCGACTTTATTTGATTGTGGTCATTAAACCATAAATCGTGCATACCATGCCATGCCATATCCCACCACTGAGCAAAAAACTTGCGCACATGCTCAGAGACGACGACCACGGCGACCACCCTTCCTTCTGGTGGAGTCGGATGGGGTGGGGGTAACGTCCTCGATACGTCCAATGCGCATGCCAGCGCGGGCAAGAGCGCGAAGAGCGGACTGGGCACCGGGGCCGGGGGTCTTGGTGCCGTTACCACCGGTGGCTCGGATCTTGACGTGGAGAGCGGTGATACCGAGTTCTAGCCAAGTTAGCTTCTGCTCCAGCTTATCGATTCCAGGCTGTCTTACCCTTGCAGCGAGCAGCAACATCCTGGGCTGCCAACATGGCGGCGTAGGGAGAGCTCTCGTCACGGTCGGCCTTGACCTTCATGCCCTTTTGTACTGGTTAGTGCACGTCGCATGCAGTCCTGATGTCTGCACTTACACCAGTGACACGGGAGATGGTTTCGCGGCCAGAAAGATCGGTGATGTGGACGAAGGTGTCGTTGAAGGAAGCGAAGATACGGGCAACACCGAAGACAAGCTCACCCTGCGCGGCTGTCAGTTCATCGTCTCTCGTCTTCCAATGCTTGTTGTTCACGAACCTCGCGGACCTGGGGTCCGAGTTGGATGTTCTCCTGGGGAGCGCGGGCGACCTTCTGCTTGGGAGGCATGTTGGCGGATTTGAGGGATTCTTGACGTGACTGGCGGTTCGTAACGCTGGCGGCGATCGTGAGGTCGAACTTTTGGTGGGTGATGAATTTCGCTTGTGTCGGAGGAACTAAACGCCGTGCTTAGCGTGCCAAGCCCAACTACTCAACTTTTCTTTGGCAGCCGCAAGCGATCTTTAGGTCCTCCATCGCTTCGCAATGGGCTGACATCCTCCACCTCACTCACGCACAGGAGCGTGCGACACGACAACAACCATGGAAGACCGCAAGAGTGTCGGTATCATAGGCATGGGCGACATGGGCAAGATGTACGCCCGCCGCCTGAGCACAGCTGGATGGAAGTGAGTGCATTCGCGCGACTGATAGCTCGAAGCTCCAGAGCCTTCTGCAAATGGTAAGCCCTCCACCCTCTTTCACACACCCTTTCCCCCGTTATGATGACCGTGAGTGCATTTGGCTCGAGTACGGCGCATGTCCACACTGCTGCCGTCTTGGTTTGCAGTAATTGGGCATGTTGCTGTCCATGATGTGAATTCTCGCTACCTTATTTTATACACCTCTGAACTACAAACAACTACATCGCATTGTTCATTACTATGGCGCGAACTTTGCTAACCAGTTGCCTCACAGATCGACTCCTCTCATCGAACACGCTGACATGCTGTCTTTGAAGGGTTCACGCCTGCGATTTGCCGGACAAGTTCGATACATTAGTAGAAGAGTTTCGGGACTTTGTAGGATAGCACTTTTATATATTGTAATCAATGAACGCATACTGAGACTGCGCCAGTCCAAAGTTGAGATCATGCAAAGTGGTCATCTCGTGTCTCGCTGCAGCGACTTCATCATCTACAGCGTCGAGGCGAAGAACATCGATGCAGTCGTCAAGACTTTCGGCCCCTGTACGCCGTCTCCTGATATTGATACATGCTACCACTAACTCATTCCCGCATTCAGCTACTAAGGTTGGTGCCATAGTTGGCGGTCAGACCTCATGCAAAGCTCCAGAGATGGATGCCTTTGACAAACATCTTCCCAAGGACGTTAGCATCGTGTCGGTGCACTCTCTCCATGGGCCCGGTATAGACCCCAAGGGGCAGCCGTTGGTCCTGATCAAATACAGGGCTTCAGACGCCGACTTCGCATTCGTAGAAAACGTCATGTCTTGCCTGGGGTCAAAGCATGTCTATCTCTCTGCCGAGCAGCATGATCGCATCACGGCGGATACGCAAGCTGTTACCCATGCCGCCTTCCTCAGCATGGGTGGTGCATGGTTCGCGAACAACCAGTTTCCATGGGACAGTTCACGCTATGTCGGCGGTATCGAGAACGTCAAGATGAACATCACCCTCCGCATCTACTCCAACAAATGGCATGTTTATGCAGGTCTTGCAATTCTCAATCCAGATGCGAAAAAGCAGATTAAACAGTATGCCGAGTCAGTGACCGAACTGTTCAAGCTTATGCTCGCTGGGCAACGGGACGAACTCCGTGAACGTGTTCATACTGCACGCAAGGCCGTCTTTGGTGACAATGAGGATGGCAAGAAGCTGCTTCTACGAGACGATTTGCTTGACCGATTCGCCTTAGGCACGATCCCAGAGAAGAAGCTCAAGAACAACCATCTCAGTTTACTTGCCATGGTAGACTGCTGGTGGAAGCTAGGCATAGTACCTTACGACCACATGATCTGCTCGACACCTGTAAGTCTATGATCCCCCTTCATTGCCGCTTAACTCGTTCTGCAACTTTGATTACTAACACATATCTAGCCATCGCGTATGTGGCTCGGCATCACAGAGTACCTCTTCTGCAACCCCACGCTACTCGAAGAGGCCATCGACACGGCTATCGATGACAACACTTTCCGCGCCGATGACTTGGAGTTTACCTTCGCCGCCAGAGACTGGAGCTCGCGTGTCAGTCTGGGTAACTTCGATGGCTATCGGGAGAAGTTTGAGGAGATCCAAAAATACTTTGAGCCGAGGTTCCCAGAGGCGACCAAGTTGGGAAATGAGATGATCAAGGTCATCTTGCAGAAGACCCAGGATACTTGAAATCATGAGTACAAGCCTAGAATATGCATAGAACATGTGGTAAATGAATGAATGATAAGCATTGCGACAGTCATGCACACCGATTGGCAAGTGACGATTTGAGTCGCAGAAATGACAAATTTATGGAGTGAGAGCCCGGAGGCTTCCACTTTACATATTTGTCTCTCCTACCTAACAGTAACTCCTTACACTTGAAATTACGCTCTTGGGTATCATGAGTGTGACAGTATCAAGGTCTTTCGTTTTTACCTCTTTGCCTCATCTCCAGAATCAAACTCAGTGCTTTCACCAATATCGCAAATTCCGAAGCCTTCTTTGCCCCCCTTTATACCCTTCCATTCACAAGCCTCCTGCAATTCCTTTGGTGGTGCCATGACCTCTTCTTCGGTCAACACCCACGTACCCCAATGCATTCCCAGCGCCCTCTTACATTTAGTGTCCGCGAATATATTGACAGCGTCTTTGGGACTAGCATGTACATTGCTGAACATCCAGCGAGGTTCATAGGCGCCAATGGGAATTAGACCAAGGTCGAAGGGGCCGCGATGCTGACCGATTTGAGAAAAGGCCGGGCATGTGGGTAGATGAGAGTAGGCAGCAGAGTAATCATCTTCGGTGGCGGGAATGCTGGACGGCACTGTGCGGTAGCCTGTGTCGCTGCGGAGATGTTATTATAAGCAGGCAAGGAATGGAGCAGACATACCCAGCAAAGTAAACTTTCGCACCACCAGATTCCACACTCCAACTCGCCCAGAGCGTCTTGGCCTTGTCAAACGGTGTCCTTGCACTGATATGCTGGCAAGGCAGCGCACCAATCGTTGCCTTTATGTCACCATTCCCCCCCATGTCTGGGGAACCCACAGAAACAGAACCTGCCTTATTGCCCTTTTGCGACAACTCCTCCAATGTAACATCCCTGCTCTCCCACCAATCCAACTCTGTAACTTTTGTAATTCCGCTCTTCTCAAACCACTTCTTGTTGCCCAATGGTGCGAAGAAATGCGCCTCAGGGAACTTCTTTTGTAGGCGCTGAATTGTCGGGTAGCTGAGATGGTCATAGTGGTTGTGGCTTATGACTACTGCGTCAACGATTGGCAGATCTTCAATCTCGCAGGGAGGAGGCGTGAAGCGTTTTAGGTTCTTCATAGTAATGGGCGCGCAACAGTCTTCGAAGACAGGATCAAAAAGGACGCGGAAGCCGCTTGGGAACTCGATGTAATAGCATGCGTGACCAAGCCATGTTGCACGTAATTTCGGCGTTTTTCGTGAGGGAAGGAATTCTGGTGTGCGGACTGGTACTGTTGGAGGCGATGTGTCTGGGTTATTGGCTTGACCTGTAATTTTGCGCCTACGATGGTGTCAGCCTGCAATTGTAGTACTTATACGATGATACCGAAGACTGGACTTACCATATCATACCCTTGACCAGCAGCTCCCAAGGACTTATTTCAACATAGCTATCCCACGGATTCGTAAACCCTTTCCCGCCTTTTAAATGGTGCTTCTTTTCATCCGCTTCCTCAGGCTTAGCAGCAATCTGGGCTGGATTGCTTACCACAGCATAGAGACCTGCACCAATGCTCGCACCACCTATTGAGCTCATTGTGATAGTAGTACCAAAGTGCGGTGTTTGCCAGAAGCTCTGGTATTTCCCAAGTTTCCGGTACGTTCGCGATTCACTGAACAATCGGCGTATGACACGAGACGAGAGCGACAGGCGCGACATTAGATATGTATATTCGCCTGACTCAGTTCAAGCGGCCAAACACAGGATCTCTCCAAGCAGCGCGAGATTATTATCATACGCGTCCACCGCCAGTTGCGACAGCCACAATACCTTTCGGGTAAAAGTTGCGCCAGACGGAGATAACCACTATTAACGTGGAGGCCATGATGCATCATCTAGTAATGGCGCATGCTCGCTAATGGCTAGCCCACAAGGCAACATCGGATCCGGACAAGCGGCCAGTCTGTTTGTCCGACTCGTTTTGGCGTCCATCCAAGTTCAAGCATTATCGAGCCTCTCTGGGCATTTTCGTGTGGTTCGCGCGATCGTAATTCGCACTATTTCGCGGCCGAATCAACGTGGCGTGGTGCCTCGTCCGTCTTACTGGTACCTAGAGCACGCATTGTGCGTGGGGCTTCTGCTTAAGTCCGCAGAACCAGAGCGTGATAGACCCGACAGGCATGCGATAGGCGAGACGACAATGGAACGGTTACAAGTGGCTATGCTGTCGCGCGAGAAAAGAATACGGTGTTATACGAATAAGCTATCGGCATGAAAGCTGCGATAGCAAGTGCGATAATATAGAAGCACAGGACGATCATGCAATTACAACACACACGAAAATACAATTCAGGAGTGGCTACTTTCATGATGTGAGTGTGAATAAGGTATGCTTCAACTAATACGAAAGAAAAGAACATATGGATGTATACCTCAGTACGTCTGTTCCGCCAAGGAATAACGAGTAAATAGTATATTGGGTTCAATACGCACTACTAAAGCCTGCCAGCCCCCAGAGAGACAGCACTACATATTATGATAGTCATGGAGGTTTCTCTCTATACAAGCTACTGGTACTATACCAGTAGTATCGCTTCGAAGACGCCACGCCATTAATGTAGCAGCTTAGACCGTTGAAGCTCGTGTTGCCTTCACAACCACCCCTAATACGTACAGGGTACTCATATACATCAATCAGCTATGGTGTAGTAATCATACCGAATACTGTTGATGGATGCCACTCTGACATCTATAAAATTGCAATGTTCGGCAACAATATGTGTGTTGGAAAAATCTTTACTGGAAACAGGTATCACCTCAATCGAACCTAGATAGTCCAAGCATCTCTGCTTCATTGTGACCACACAGAAGATACACATATAAGACATACGAACAAACCATTGTGCTTTTCAGTCAAAATGGTCAACTCGACCTTGGCCGTGCCTTGTGGCCCAGTTTGACAGACTGTCACGTAATGTGTACGTTGTATGTCCAAGACATTGCGCGTAATATGCCCCTGTCCGAAAGAATGCGAGATCGAGTGATCTGACGCCTGCTGTTGGGACGGGATCTCCGGGACGACAGGGCATCTGGATCGCTGGATCGGATGGCGTTGGGACCGAGGGCAACAAACCAGGCTGTCTCAAGATGGGCTGAAGTAGCTGAAACAACAGCCTGTATTCGTGCAAACCCAGCAGCTTCGGTGCTGCGACAATGATGTAACTGCAGTGGTTATCATCCGAGTGCTGCTCAAGAGGATTGAATAGGATTTACTCACAAGCAGGGCAGATCACTTTATCAAATGAGGAACGGGAACAATGATCACCAGGTGAAGTGGAGTTTGATTTGTCGTTTCCTGTGCGACTGTATCGCTTTTCTAGGATGTTTTTTTTCGCATTCTGATGGTATCCCCAATATCAGGATATTTCGTTGTATCGCAGTTATACACTAAACAAATCTTCCCTCCCGTTGCCCAAAACAATGCCGGTGCAGAAACCAGATAAAGCAAGAGGTATTTTTTCCGCCGCTCCAAAAGAAATAAAGCGAATCCCATCGCTGATCTTGTGCCATTAATTACAACCCGACTACAGCGGAAGGCGAGGATCCAGGAAAGAAGTCGTGAACGTAACAAGCGGCCCTCCAGTGGCGGCATGACCATGGTCACTGCCGAAGGATTGGTCGCGTGGGGTGACTCCGCATGCTGAAAGCGAAAGCCGACTCCTGAGAAGTGAAATCCGTAAACCGAAAAAAGGCAACCTCCGTAAACATTGAGGTAGCGCTAGAGAAATGAACATCGTAAAGGTGCGATATGACACCCGAATGAAAGCAGGAACGCCGTAACCCACAATTTCGCTGACATGCTCCTATTAGACCATGGGCAAACCAAAGTCTAAAACGTAATACCGGTGATAATAAGGAAAGAGTGATGGAAAGGGAAAGAAAAGGAAACCAGTGAAATCTATCATGCAAGATGATCGCAAGCCTTGTGCGTTTTCGTGAGATCCGGAGGCGCACCAATATGCTTGCAGATAGCGGAAGGAATGAGGCAGTTGCGCCTTGACAATGTCCGGTAGTCTAGGCTTGAGGAAATCGAAGTAGCCAAATGTATCCAGTGGTCGGAACTGGGTGGGCTCAGGTAGGCCATGGTACTTCGCGGAACGGAAGAGTAACTTTTGAACATATGAAGCGCTGAAATGGGATGTCGAATATTTATCCGTGGAACGTCAAGTGGACGATGTCGCCATGGTGCTCGGCCGATGAGGAGCAAACGATTAGACGGCAACAGCCTGGGGCCCGTAACCAGGTGCCATGTAGTAGGGCGGGTGCCTCTGCACACAGTAGGCGCATCCGCAGCTGAGACCATGCTGGTTCCAAGCCGACGGGGTGTACTGTGAGTAAGCGGGTGGACCGTAATTGGACGGTTGCTGGAGCGCTTGCGTAGGGGCGGGCTGAGACAAGGGAGGGAAACCGAACATGGTGCGACGCGAGTATCCTTCGGCCGGAGCCCAAGTTCCCGTTGTGCCATAGTACTCTGGGGTAGTCGGGCCCGTGGTGGGTGCTGACGCAGGAGAGTGCTCGCTAGCGGACCGCCATGGGTCGTACTGCGAGTAGGTCGGAGGGTTGTAGGCGGACTGGGCCGACTTGGGCACATAGTCGTACGGGGGAGTGTAGGCCTGCTGCATCGGTAGAGGAGGGAGCGGCTTGTTAGGGTTGAGTGAGCGTCGCTGTACCGACGTGTCGATGGGGCTAAGCTTGTTGCTACGACCAGAACGCGCAGCAGCAGTGTTCTGGTAATCCTTCCAGTGCTCTGACCACGATGTCCAACCGTGTTGCTCCGTAGGATCGCGGTGAAGCCTGAACTTGATGGCTACGAGCCACTCGAGCTCAAGCTCGTTCAGCTCGTGGACCTGAATACCACTGACCTCAGACCACGAACGGTTAATGAAGGTGTTGTCGTCGAGGAACTTGCTACCGAGCACTAGTGCGATAGTGAGGAGACGGAACAGGTGGGTGTCGGTCTTCGGCTCGTGAGCCAGCATGGGCATCCTGCTGGACAAATAGTACATGCTGAGCAAGATGGTGGCCGAGGGCAGGCGCGTGGCGCAGAGAACCTGGTGCACCCACTTGCGGAAAGACGAAGGCATCATGCGACCAGGCGTGATGAGTCGTAGGGCTGTCTCGCAGACGAAGTCGGTCATGACGTCCATGTCATAATCCAGTTTCGCCGACACACCGCCGACAGGCTTCTCTTCCTTAGCCGGCTGGTTCATTCGCTGGTTGTACTCATGCACGCGCTGGTGTTGCATAGCTGCCTCTGCCAGTGAGTGACCAGACTGTGCGCGCATGGGTGGCAGTGTGGTTGCGCCCATGGGGTCGTAGAACGAGCTCGCGGGTGGGAGGCTAGGAGGCGCACTGCTTAGGTAGGTGCCGGCCTGCGGGTACATGGGTGGCATGGCGATGGCCAGCTGACCGTAGCGGTCTGCGAAGTCGTAACCATCATCTTGCTGCCGGATCGTAGGGCCAGCGTACGCGGGCTGCTGCGGTGGGTATGATGCGCCACAGGCAGAGTGGTAGCTGGGGACGAACTCCTGAGGAGACAGCCGTGGCATGTTATGCCGGGGGTAGAAGGAGGGCATGATGGTGTTGGACCGCCGCAGAGAGAAGACTGGCGAGGCTCCTGATGTTGTGTTAGCGATGCCTTGTTGTGAAGTTGAAGGAGTCTGGTAGTGAGCCGTATCGCTAGCAGAATTTGTTGGTGACGTACAGTCTTCTCGTTCGCGCCGCCTCTAGAGTAGCCTACGGACCCTCTAGAAAGATGTGCTCATGCAAGGAAAAGTGTCGCCTGGGAGGTGTTTGGTGCGTGGTAGCAAAGTGTCGCGCTGGTGGTGCTTGTTGCGCGAAGGCGGAGAAGGGGCTGGAATGGAAGCAAAGTGTGCGTCGACAGGTGCAGTGCAGCTCGAGGGTGATGGAGCGCAGGCAGGCCGGGGCTAAGTCAATAGATCCGGCGACGCGAGGTCGTTGTTGTTGATGATGTCGCGGAGCGTCGAGGTCCCTGGAGACAGGCGGCAAAAGAAAAGCAGGTTGAAACGGAGCGCAATTAGACAGTACAAGCCAGAACCAGAGCCGAGAAATGCACACGCAGCCTGTGTTCAGGTGGCGGAGGTGACGAGGCGTTGGGTGTCAGAGCCAGACGGACGAGTCTACCCGTGAGTGCTGCACTGCTCGTTTGCAAAGCCAGCGAGACAGAGCAAGCGTCGGGTGATGCTGGTGAGCGGGCTGGGGATGCCGGACAGCCGAGATTGGAAGCGCACGTCCGTTGGGGCTTGGGGACTGTGTCGCAACGAGCAACGCCTGCGACGAAGACAGGACGCGGGAGATGGGGGAGACGGGGGGAGGAGGTGAGGGAGGATGGGGATGGGGAGAGCAGAAGGCGGTGATGTGGGTGTATTCGATCGCACACCGTTAGCGAGGCCTAGCAGCGAAGGGGCTCTCTAGCAATGGCGAGCCAGCAAGACCGTCTTGATCCGAAGGCCGCACCTGCAATAATGGTTCATTACCTGTCTGTCTATCCACTCATGTGCTATGAAAACTCTGCCTCTTGCAGTTAGTGGGTCATAAATGTCGACTCCCAGCCCGCGTTTTGCGGTGACTACCACTCATGACTCTCGACGCAGGAGCGCTGCAGTGCTGGTGCACAAATCGAGCGCCTTCATGCGTCCCCAGCATGTCCAGGCCAATGAACGCACCCAGGGACCACCCTCTGCACCCGCGAGGGGAGCAAGCCACGTATCGCCAGTCGCCTCTCCTGCAACCCGGCTTGCCGTCTTCTTTTGGTGCGCCTGCAGTAGCGGCCTTACTGGTCCGCTGCGCCTTCATGAGCAGCTGTCATCTGAGCTCCTTGGGTTGTGAACAGTGCTTCAGAGCCTTATTTATCTAGACAGGAGACAATTTGCACTGGCCGACAGACAACCCCGTGCTCGACGCCTACGCTTAGCATCTGTCTGTTTTGTTTTGGGTAGACAGCCCAGCTGCTTCTTGTGTCGTCGTGGACATGGCAATGCGCCGGACCCAAGAATAGCATTGCAATCGCGCACTTCACCATCGACTCGGACCCGTTCGCACTGCGAAAATTGTGCCGCGGCCGTTGAGTGCTCCTGCGACGTCTGGCCCCAAAGAGTCAGACCTACGGTATCCGCCGGCGGGGCCATGTCCTACCACGATGATGAGGGGGGTCTCGCGATCAGCGCGACTTATGCAAATCGATCCCAAATCTGAACACCATTGTAGCGTGGCAGTGACAACGTTGACGGCGAAACCGGAATGCCGTGCGTCTGTCGGCGGGCGTCATCAACGTCCCCATCGCCAAATTACTGCTCGTGCAATCGTCACTCGCAACCCAAGCGCTCGGCGCCCCCCTCTGGGCTCGGTGCTATATCGTAAGCAGGTGCCCACCGTATGCACCTGGGATGCATGTGAGGAAGTTCGAGCCTTCGAGGCCAGCACTTTCTCCACTCACACAGTCTAAGATCTTTGCTGACCAGTTCCTTGGCTTCGGATTGGCCCCCTGGAGCTCATCAATACCCGTAGTGACGCTTGCAGCCCTTTACCGTGATTTTTCATCAGGCACCAGAAACATCCTGCCGTCACACATGTGACTTCACTATCCCACATCAAAGCCATCTTTTGCCTGCCGTGGCGTCAAGTGCCATGTCGTCAATAATAAAATTTGACGGCTGTTTACGTCAAGCGATGCGGTGAGGGCGAACACTATGCGTTGAAGAAGAAGGAAAAAAACATGTGCCGGCAAGGAGACGCAGGCAGCTGTTGATTGGCGAGCAACGACGCAGACACGATACTTGGTCAAAATAGCTTAGTGCACTAAAACACGTGATCCACTCTTAAGCCCTCAACCTGGGAAGACGAGGCTCCAAGGCCAGAGGAAGCAGTTTCACCCGCTGAGCTTGCAGTGACATTACGACCAGGCTTCATGGTAAGGACTACGTGACTACCTAGCAATAGCCTTACTCAGTTGGGCCCCTTCGCGATGCACAGGCTTTTCGGCTCACCCAGTGCCCAACGCGTTCGATATGCGCTGGCATCCAATGGAGCTAATCCACATCGCATGACACAGACAAGGACACGATAGTTACGGGCGCACGAGGTCAAGACAAGCAATTTGGATAAGGCAGAGGATGGCGCAGTGACTGCGTAGTTCATTCAGATTGCATGCGTTTCGCACGTAGACTCATAAGACGACCATATACTTAGGTCCAGGATCCCAAACGCCGATGTAAATGCTGATTCCGTGGTATATCCCAAAAGCTTTTCACGCGCCAAACCAGAGACGAAAACCAAGAACTTCGACCAATGGGCGATCTAGTTCATCTGCCTGATCAAATCGTTGATCTTGTCTTCCCGGTTGCCCAAGTCACCACCTTCGATGAAATGCTTGAACTTCCTCTTACGGAAGCCACCAGTAGGGCTGTTTAGCTTGAACGGCCAGAGGAAGTTGGAGGCCGCTTTGAAGTTTGGTCCAACAGTGCAGATCTCATGGATAAGATCCTCCATACAGATCATGCCGTATTTACCCAAGTTCTCCTCGATAATCTCGTTGTCGGTCAGAGGGAGTCGTTGCTTGTCGACCTTGCCATAGCCACGCTCTGTACATGAGTTAGTGTCCGACAACAAAGTTGAGCTTGAGTCGAAACTTACTGTAGATGAGCTCACGAACCGACTTCTGGTTTGGGTAACCATAAGCAACAAACGGCTCAACAATCTTCAGCATCTCCATGGTCGCCTTGGTAAGCTTGATGAAAACACCATTGTTGATCTGGAGGAGCCGAAGGAGCTGCAGTGTCTTGCGTTTCTTGGGATCAATCTTGTTGATACCCTTTATCCGAACGACGAAGGCGAGTTTTGGCTCAGCGGGGACGTAGAGGCTGTCGCTCTTCTTGGCTTCGCGCGCCATGCGCACCCGCTCACGCTCAGAATCGCGGTACTCCTTCACATACTTCTCAGCCCTTGTGAAGATGACCTCGCGCTTCTTCTTATTCTTGTCTGTTTCATGTCAGCGCTGTTCAAAACAGTATGGCATGCCATGAGTTTCAAAGAGGGCGATCGCATCATTCCCGAAAGATGGTTAACAATTCGACAACATTGACCGTAGTCTAGCCGATAGTGTGGTTGTTATAATCATCGTGATCGCCCTCCCGAGATCTCTGAAAGCATGCGGGGTTGGCCGTACCTCGCTTTTCGCGTGTTGCGATCGCGCGCTCCTCGCGTGCCTTCTCTTGAGACTTCCTCTTCTTGAGGAGGTTCTCAGGCACGAGAGTGACCTCGCTCTGTGTAGGAACGGTTCTGTGAGGCGCGTGTTAGCTTTGAAATAGGTGTGCGGTGCAGAGACAACTTACGACTTCGACGACATGTTGAAGTGGTGTTCGAGAAATTCGTCGGAAGCTCAATTTTTGCCAGACCCTTAGCGCTTACGCTAGCCTTATTCCTACAAGCGTCAACGCTAAGAGGCTGTGGTCCCATATAGGCTGCACCCATCTGCGGCCGAGGTCTGGATAACTGTATTGATCTTATTACTGCAATTTCAAGTTCCTTCTGGCAACGAGCATGTCCCTCGCAGCTTGTTTATGTTTGGAAGTGACTGTATCACGATGCGGTGGTGGGTGCAGTAAGGTGTCATTTGAGATGTCTCACACCTGACAATATTTAGAGAAGAAGTTGGCATATCGAATAGCCATGCATGTGAATGCACCAGAACTATCTCTATGTCGCAGGTGACCTTTGTTGGGACATAAGGCCACTTTGTTTACTGGCGGCTTTGATATCTACTGTGACCCTTCTAATCACCTTGAACTTCGGAGGTCTATCAAAGGCGAGCAATAGCAACTCCGGACAACTGCATGTTCCAGAAGATGTGTCCCTATTCAGCCTCTTTGATAGGCGGCTTCCCTAAGCTTCAGAGTAAGATCCGTTGTCTACAAGTAGCTTTCCTATGGCCGATCGCTTGAAGGGAGAATGAAATTCTGCTGGCATGATACCTGGATAGGGAACCATTGAGCATATGGGATGATATGCTCCGTGGTATGGCTGGTTCATCACCAATATGGTCGTTCATAAGATTACGCTTATCTTTAAATAGTGCTTTTCATCAGATTGGATACAGAGAGAGGGGGATTTGTATACTGTATCCTCCCCTGCAACACACTTGGGCGAAAAACCGAAGACCACCAGTCTAGAGATAGTTGTACGACCCCAAAACGTCGCCAGAAGTACATTCCGTACTACGAGAAGCCTTTAGTGAATTTACCTGATCCTATTGTTCATGTCACGAGTAATCGCGAAGTGGCCGCCATTAGTCGACGAGCAACATTTCCAAGGTTGATTTAGTTGTTCTAGAGTATGCTTTAGGAACTAACTTTATTTACCTCCGTGCCATATCCTGTAGCCTACAAGAAAAGGTTTCCCGACGTCGTCCCCTTCTTTACAAATACCGTTGTAAAATCTTTATCTTCATTGCCATTGAAAGCTCCACCACTTTGTGAAGATGTTTCTATTTTCACATTCTGCTATTGATAGTGTCAATACCAAACAGCTCTACAGACTGAAGCCAGGTCCTTACCACGAGAAGTTCACCGAACAGTACCTTTCTTCCGTTGCTAGTTCCTACGACACTACTACGTTTGCCTCAGGCCAATCCATTCTTTCTACCCCCTGACTTTCTGGTTCACGAGTGAAGCTCCACGAGTGAAGCCCCACAAGACGACATATCCCACCCGCGAGCCTGGTCTAGACCTCCTTGAACCCTCGGACCGTTCGTTTCAAGATGACAGAACTCGGCTTTGCGCCACACCAGATGCCATGCCGTCTCGTTTCGTTTGACGATCCCCGGTACCCACATGTTTCGTACCATGCTTTACTCGCTTCCACATTGTGCTAATGGTAGCTCGATGAGATTAACCGTAGCGTCACACATCTCATCGGACGTATCTCGCTATGTCATGAGAAAAGGTCCGACTGAGTTTCTGGTGTTATAGTTGGGCTCATATAAGGAATACACTGATGCAGAATTTTCAGACCAGTCAAGTGAGACTGTAATGTGCAGAATGCTATGACGTTGCTTTTGATTGAAAAGCAGACTACTCGTACATTGGGAGGGATATCATTAACGCATGATCCTACTCGGATCTTGTTCCCGGAACGCCATGCTGAATGAAACGCCAATTCTGAGGCATGAACACGTCACCCCGTGATGTTGTTCATACTCGTGATGATGATAAGACAATGGAAGAATTCGTGTATGTGAAAGTCATGATGCGAGTGTGATGGGCGAACATGATGGCTCACCATGCTGTTGTATACTTCTTCGTAATCTGGGTCCATTCCCTCTAGGGTAGGAAATGCGAATAATGACCTGGGACCCTCTGCCTGCACTTCTCGCAGTCTTCCCGATAACCCATGCTGAAACGACCCATACCCGTCAATGCACCGCTTCGTTTTCTACCACGAGGCGTTGACGGTGGAGCCAGTGTTGAGGAAGACTCGGCATCCATTTGATCGGCCGTACTGGCGTGCGAGAAACTAAGTCGCGATAGCTGGGACTGGGTAAGTGCGGTCGGCGTATCTGGAACGTCCTCGTCCTCTGAGATGGGCGAAGGCATACGTCTGCTCCGATCGTCATCTGCATGCTGTCCCGATCCCTTCCAGGCTGGTGGAGGTGCTTGCACTGAAGGTAGGTGCAGGTTGTTCATAGCCATGGCACCTGCTGAGCCACTCATGGGGTATCCCAATCCATTCATTCCTCCTCTCTTAAAGGTAGGATGTATGGGCGTAGGTATGCGACCATTGTTGTTGACAGTATCTGAGTTGAATAAAGACGGTTGGAGCATAGCCGGTCGCATAAAGTTGTTGCCAAACGAGCTGAAGGCGGGCGACTCTGGTGGTTGACTGCGAACGTCCATTTCATCGTCGTCCAAGTCCATATCCATGTCTGTGCCACTTGACTCTCTTGATATACGAACGGGACCACCGTATATCGAATCCGGCGAGTAGGCTCCTCCGTGTTCTGATTGTGCTGGCGTCATTGACCGGATGTCCGTGAACAATCTTGGTGGAGACGGCGTGTGTGCGCCCCGGTGGGGTAGGTTCGAGAGTAGTTGGGGATGAAGTTGGTCATGGCTGACCAGCTCGTGGCTTTCCGGTCGATACTTCTATCCTACAATTAGCCAACCCCAGGAAGAAGGTATCGCTGACGTACCTTGGGGTATCTGTCCTCATCAAAATCCGAGTCTGAATCGTCGTCCCGGCCTCGCTTCCTGGCCATGATCTGAAACATGGACATGGTGATCTTGGGAAATGAGTGATCCTTATGTAGCCGCGTTCAACGCGATGACGGAGTTCAGACGATATGGTTCTTTTGATGAATAGAACGCTCGAGAGGAGCGTAGCTGGAGAAGCGCGACTGCGGTCGGAGGTTCCTGGTAGATATGTTTGGAAGCAAGCGGGCGAGGGGTCGATATGACTATCAGGGGCGCTGTTTCAGGTCGCATGAAAAGAACCCTGGCTTGTGTAGTGGAGTCGCGCGCCTCTAATGGCAGAGCGACTGTGTGGGGAAACCTTTTACTTGGTTGTCGGAAGTTGGTAACCCGTCGCTTGCATGCGGAGCCTCTAAGTGGTAGTAGCGATGATGTCGACGATGGTGTGGCTTAGCGTGGCGGAGTGGTGAAGTGGCATCTGAGGCCAAACCTTGGAATCGCCGAATCTTGGAAGCCAGGCACGGCATCACGTGGGCTACGTATATGCATGTTCAAGGAGAAGTGAAGCGTCTTTCTACATGCGATGGCGGCGGTCGCAGGAGGCGTGTTTGCGTGTACCCATGTCGCAAGCTGAATACAGGCCCCCCAGAGAAGAGTAAGGGAAGGGATGATGTTGGTGGTCACTGGGAGGGACGAGGGATGATTTGAGCTGCAGCTTGGGTCAACGAGTGCCGCCGACGCGGTGCTCGAGTCTTCCAACACAAAAGGGTCATCTTCACGCCGTCGTCAGATTCCAACAAAGCAACATGCATCGACCAACAGGAACGTGGCTATTCCAGCACGGTAACAAGCTTGGCGCACCTGCAGGTGCAAAGCTCCGGCGGCGGTGTATCGATAACTGGCGGGACCCAGAACGAACCATCAGCCCCACCTTACCCTAAAGTTTCGCAGCCACTCCCAAATAATTTGATAGCATAAGCTAGCTGACCGGGATGTTGATCACCCGGGGATGTTGATCACTCACAAATCTCAGCACTCCCACACAAAACACGTGTTTATTTTCTTAACGTAGCTATAATTGCCACTCCGTACACATAGAC